TAGATTTAAGATGGATTTATGTAAGCCTGTGAACTTGAGATTTTGGGGGCCTGTGACACGCGGGCCTGGACTTGATCCTGCTGTGCTGTGCCTGCAAGGTGCAGTGATGGCTCCATCTCGCCTTGCACCACGGGCACTCAACGCACTGGGCAAGGCCTCAATCCACCCAGAAGGGTTGGCAGTGTGTGATGCTCCAAACTGTCTGATACTTTATAAATAATAAAAATGCTTCCCTTAGAAAACATTTTATTTAATCCAGGTCTTTCAAGCATTCCCTTCTCTTCTGTGCCTATAAGTAATGCTATTAGAAGCAAATTCTGTGGAGCTTCTGTCACTTAAAAAGATGATTTTCCTGTGCACCTCTGAAAATCTAATGTCTTTAGTATCTTGTACTTTTAAACTGCAGTACAGCTTTTAGTCATTTTGATCCAAACACACTTTTTTTTGCTTAAAGGTTCGATTTCTCACACCAGTGTTTTGCATATGCTCAGCTGGATGTTGGAGAGATGTGCTTAGCTTAATTAATATTCCTATTCTGAGTTTGGAGTCCCTGGTTCTAAGGTCAGTGCGAGTTATCCTGGCTAATGGTGATGTTTCCTCTCAATACAACAGCAATAGCTTTTGATTTCTGTGGTGGTTTTCCAGAAACCAGAGGCGAGGTGGTGTTTGTGGGAGTTAGGCTGGAAGCGCTGGGTAGGCCTCAGCTGGAGGCCGTCCCCAAAGTGGAGGTGTGCCTCCTGGCTGTGACAGAGCCACACTTGTTCCTTGCCATCATTTGGAGCATGAAACTATCCCAGCTCAAGTAGATGGGTGCTGGCTGGTCTGTGGTAACAGGGATCACTTCAGTGCCTTGGGGGTTTCTGCAGCCTTCAGGCGGCTAGGCAAGTAAAACAGGAGCAATCTCCTCTGTAAAGTCCCATTTATCTTTCAAATGGCTCAAGAACATTACAAGGCCCACAAGAGAGGCCGGACAGCAGGTTTCTCTGACAGGAACCGTACTGCATTCAGCTGCCAAAGCCAAAAAAAAAAAAAAAAAAAAAAAAAAGCAGTGTCTGTCCCCCAAAGCCTAAGGGAAGTACGACCATGCTCAATTCTGGCTGTGGCGCCAGACGGGTCAGACGGGTCAGGGAGGGCTGTGGTGGCACTGCCTGCTCCTGTCCACACAGGAGCTTATACCCAGCATTACTTGCTGTTCTCTTTGTGTGTTAAACAATAAATGTCTGCAGTGGTTTTGTGCCACACATGGAGCCACAACTGCCCCTTCCATGAGGGCAGGAGCTGAGAGCAGAGGGCCAGGAGGGGCCTCAGGGTCAGGAACGGGTCCTGGCTGACCCTGGCCCTCTCCAGGTCTATTACAAGTCCCTGCAGTGCCTTCTCAGGTTATTTTTAAGTGGTGCTTTCTCTCCATGGAGTTTACATGCTGAGAAGAGGCAAACCAGACCTAGGCAGCCAAGAGGAGCCCACCTGCTTCACAGCCGGAGCCTGGAGAGGCCCCAAAGCACCTCAAGGGCCTACTGCATTTACCAGGCTGGGCCTGCCATTTTGTTCTCATCTCCTCGTTATGTGGTTGCTCTAAACCTTAGAAGCCCTGGCAGTACTTGTTCCCTCTAAAAAAAACCACTTGTCTTCTTGCCTTCTCCATCCCGCACTGCATGCCGAGGCCACCCCCTGCTGCTGGGGGGAGGAGGGCTTCTCCTGCCTCAGCACTGTCCATGAGCATGGTTTGGACTTGGCCTTGAGCAGGTGCCTACGCTTATACCAGCATTTTGTTTGAGTCAGCACTCAGGCCATCCCCCTGCCCTACCTCCTGGCAGTACCGTCTGTCTGTCTGTCCGTCAGTCCTCTCCTCAGGAGCACCCAGGGCTGTGGGACCCAGGCCTGTTGTGCATGGTCACCCTCACACACGTGCCCAGCTGGGGGAGAAAATCAATTTGCCTACAGAAAACAGCCAAAAACCTGTCACTGACTAACAAATAGGTGTAAAACAGCAACTTTCACACACAGGGCCCCTCACTTTGCCCTCACAGAAAGGGGGTCACCAGTACCCTGGCCATGAGCGATGTTGGCATGCACACACCCCCAAGACCATGGTTTTATTTATAACTCTATTGCTTTTTGTCTCCCATTATGCACTGTTTCGTTGTCAACTGGATGTGGTTTCCAAGAGGCCTCTACAGACGTAGCAGCCGTGATTTATGCAGCAGCCCAAACCACAGCGGTTTGCTGCAGAAAAGATTCAGTGAGCTCAGAGCAGTTGAAAGCAGAGTCAGCACGGCCCTGTGAAAGTGAACTTAACCAGTTGCTGTAGCACACTTAGCTGTGACACAGCTGCAAATTCAAGGTTTGGGACAGAACCACAGGCTGGTGAGGCCGGCAGGGCCCACTGGAGGCCCCTGCCCCAGCCCCTGCTCCAGCAGGGACACCCCCAGCAGGGTGCCCAGCACCACATCCAGGCGGCTGCTGAAGGTCTCCAAGGAGGAGACCCCACAGCCTCTCCGGGCAGCCTGTGCCAGGACTCTGTTGCCTGCCCAGCACAGAAGTGCTGCCTGCTGCTCACAGAGAACCTCCTGTGCTCCTGTTTGTGCCCCTGCCTCTTGTCCTGGCACCGGGCACCACTGAGAAGAGCCTGGCTCCATCTTCTTTACACCCTCCCTTTGGACATTCACAGACACTGAATAGCTCCTGCGACTAGTCACAGGTAAGGCCCAACCCTAGGTGAGAACAATGGCAAACGAACAATACGAGGAACAATGCAGTCCTTGTTTGTTCCTACAAACCTTTCAGCTTTTTCCTCATGTGCATCATCTGACTCGGTGACTTTTTTTGGTGCTTACTTTGTTCGTGCACGTCTACTTCTAAATAGCTCTCCCTTCTGACACGCATGGCCTAGAGCCACTTCACTCCTGGCATTTTTGATGTGGTTCAGACCAGCTGAGGACGTGACTGTGGGAGATTGCTCTACAGGGAATGTGCAGGCCAAGCAGAGAGGGCGAGCATCCCTCCCCCACGCCCCGTCCGGTTGGTAATGTGCCTCTGGATAGTTAATGCACGCTTCATTTCCCAGATTTTTGTCCTTTTAATGGCAATAGCCATAGCCATGAGTCTTTTTCATCGCATTTAAACTGACAACTTTATCCCACTTAAATCACTTTCTACACATGTAAGCCACTTCGTGGTCACCACGTTGCAGCAACCCGAAGCCGCGTTGGCCACCACGAGGAACGGCTGCATCCTGCTCTGCCACCGGGGCTTGTTCTTCAGCCTTGTACTCAGGGAAAGCTGAAGGTACAGCAGTGGCACAATTTCTGGTGCTATTTCTTTGTTAACAGACAGGTTTATGTGTAGTTAGCTCTCACACCTTCTGGGTGAAATGGGCCCAGCTGGTTCTAGGCCTGCTCATTGAACCAAAATTCATCCCAGAGACAGGCTGGTGCTTATTTTCAGGGCTCCAACTGGTGCAGTGCCATGCAGCCAACCCCACACCCGCTCCTGCAGCACAGCTGTGGGCAGCTGCTTTGCCCTGAGCCACGTAGGGGCTGCCCCCGCAGCCGGGTAACACGGCACAGCTGCAGGAGCCTCCCAAACCTCTCCAACAGGATGGGCAGGAGTTGACTACTCGCTGCCTCATGTATTTTCAGCAACAGCTTCTCCCCTAACCTGCCCGCAGTGAGCATCATCATCTGGGGAGCCAGGCAGGGAGCTGGGCAGGGAAAACAAGGTGATCTCTATCCCATTCCCCTTATCCTGCCCCACTGTAAGAAAATAGGGCTGTTTTTAGCCACTTTTCCCCACCCAGTAACACCAAGCTCATTTTTTCCTCTCAATGTCAGCTGATTACCCTTAATTCCCCCCTGGGCTGGGACAAACCACCTACAAACTTTATGTATTTCAACACAAAGCAGCCACTAAGTGAAGCAACGCAATTTATTTGACATTATACCAGACATGGGTGCTCTAGCTCCCGCCCCAGACTTGACCTTAAAACAATTTTAAATCCTGAATTTGCTGCATAGGCATTATCAAAGTTACCTGGCCGAGAGCTAAAAGTTGTCAGCATTACAGCTACTGAAATACAAAACTAAACACAGGAGGCAGCGAGATACTGTTCGTCCAGTTCAACTGTAAACATGCTTCCAGCTTTGGGGTGCTGGAAGAAATTACACGGCTGTAGGACAACTTCACAAGGGTTTCTGTATACAGCAGCTCAGTTACTCGTTGCACAGCAGTCTCTAACTACAAGAATGAGGGAATAGGAAAGTAGCTTGTGACAACAGCAAATAAGAGACCCTCCTCTAATTCTGACACCATCACTGTGCAGTGACACCAAGTTCAGTACTGCCTCCCGTGGAGCCTGCAAAACCTGCCCAGGGCCGAACACCGGCCTGCAGAGATGAAGCAGCAACAAAACTCGTGTGACAAGGAGCCTCCTGCCCTGCTCACTGCTCCAAGCCCTTGGTACAGAGAGAACATCTTCCACAGGGCCTTGCTCTTTGCTGCAAGCACTGCCCAAAACACGCCAAAATGGTGGTGGCAGGTACTGGTGCCACAGCACTGCCCCATCTCCCCCATCCTCCTACAGCTGCCCCAGCAGGCAGGAGGCTGTCACCTCCCCCGTAGGAAGCAGCTGGAGTTTATAGAAAGTACAAAGGCAAGATGAGCATGAGTAGTAGTGAAACCAAAACAACATTTTTTGTTTCTTCAGACACAGCCTTAGATTTTTTTTTAAAGGAGACACTGTGCATGTATGCATATATTTCTTTACGTAAATACATTTCCTACTGTCTTAGGTGAAACACCACACTCTTCCATCACACGTATTATATTTACACAATTTCTTCCTCAAGGTTTTCGATGTGCATTAGGACAACTCTCATCCTTCCTCTCTCATTATTGACATGGAAACAGTATACTATGTAACAGCAGAACAAGTCGAAATAAAATGAAAACTGCTTTCAGGGAAACATGCATTTATTGTTAAGCATTCCCAGTGAAAATCAACATCTTTTAAAATGTGTGTTTATTTAAAAAATCATCTGTGTACAAAAGTGTTTGTGTAGTTTTTATTTTCAAGACAAAAAACACTGATGCTGCATTCCAGCCCACCCACTCATCCTTTACAGGAAGCCTGATGCTCAGGAACCAACCTCCTGCAATATATATATATTTCTGTAATTTTTTTGTTTTTATTTATTTTTATATATATATTTTTTAAGAAAAGTCAGAATCTCGGATGGAAAAGGAAAGTGTAAAGCAGGGTTCTTCAACAGTTGACATCAGCGTTCTTATGATGGCAGCCTCCTTCAGACGCAACAACAGAGCACCAGCAGTTGTCGGAAACCAGAAATGGACAAGTACAGCATTTTCACAGTACATTTCCTCAGCTGTTGAGTCTCTCAACTTACATTTTCAATGAATGGCTCAGCACCGTAAGCAATCGGCTAGCTATTTGGATGCCTACAAAGCAGGTAACAGCGGAGAAGGAACATCACGTCACAGTACAGTGCAAATGACTTGCAAGAGTTTGTTGAATGAGAACAAAGCTGAAAACTCGAGCCGCTGACTACAGAGCGCTGCAGCTGGGATAACTGAGCAAGAAGCAAAATGGGGTAAGGGCAGCTGGCCTTGTGAGGCTAAGGATGAATCGGCCGATGACGCTAACAGCACCGGCAGGAAGAGCAAGCTACGTGTTGTTACCGATGGTGTTGGAGGAGATCGGACTCACAAGAGGAAAGAAGCGACTGTCCCTTTACCTGGCCATGGGAGAACGCTGCGCTGGGGAAATGAGGACAGTAGCAGTGAAACCACCTACGTGGTCTTCTCAGAAAGAGCCCTAGGCACTCGATGAGTGGTGCAATAGATGGCGTGATGAAATGCGTTCTCGCGAGCTATTTCTTAGCCAAGTGCTCATCAAGTCCTACAAAGCAAATCGCTGGATCACAAGCCAGAGCTACGCTCAAGACGCTCTTGATCAGCTTCCACAGCCAACAAAACAGAGCAGGAGGGGACCTCTCATCTTCTTGTGCCTGCTCATAAGCAGACGTTAAATAAAGCTAACCTTCACTGCTCAATTATTTATCATTTTCCCCTTTGGGCAAGCCTCCAAGTCTAAGCTAGCTTTTGTTGGTATTTAGGAAGGAAGCAAGGGCCATGCACACAGCTCAGCTTCCCCTTGCTCTGAAAATGGAACATTTCACAGTAACAGCGTATGACCGATGCAGTAAACAAGAACTCTTGCTTGAAACTGTTCAGGTTTGCTTTTCCCCCTCCCCTTCCCTCTTCCCCCATCAAACAAGCAATCCATATGCTCTGAAGTGCCTGGTCTGATTCACAGCTGCTAAGCCCGGATTTGCATAGTTTAAATGTTTGTTACCCACACCATCTAACGCAGATTTGGCATTACAAGGTAAGCTTCTTTCTGGCTATTTAATTCCTCTTTTCACACACACGAAAAAAAAAAGCCTATATTCCTTATGCCAGTGTTCCAATGCTAATTTACTTGGAAGAGTTAAATACAATGGTAATTAAAAAAAAAAAAAAAAGGGACACATTCCTACACCACTGGTTCCTAATTCCTCAAACAAATGCTCTTGAACCAGTTCGAGTCAAGGCCCCATGTGCTCTGGCAGCTGACGTGAGCCGTGGTAGAAAGCCGCTCACTCGCATGAAAAGCTGCCGCTATGAACTTGAAAGCTGTGGCAAGCTTTGTCCTTTCGATGGGAAGTTTGGGCGAGGCAGAATGAGCAGCACTGAGTGCCACGTCTTGCTGGAAGGATATGTGGTAAGATTTTGTCTCTGAGCTGTACCAGTCCGTCGCGCCGAGGACACAGCTTGTTCACGGGAGAAAGCTGCAAGTTCGGCAAGTGGGGGTGATACGGGGAGGACTTTTGGCACTCAGAGGAAAACTCAGGCTTTTGGCAACACAAAGACGCTTCTTTACCTCTAAGCAAAAACATACTCAAGTCTGAGGAACTAGATGTGACAGGAGTTGCTTGTTCCCCACCAACAAAATGAGAGAGAAACCACTTGGCCAGATGCACATCGCAGCGTTGGGCAGCAAAGCCTGATGCTCTGGCAAGCAGCGAGCTCCAGTACCAACACCTTGCTCACAACTGGGCCATCTGGATTTCAAAAGCCCTGCTCCGAGCTGTTTTCTTAAACAACGGCGGAAGACAACGCAGGGTTTATTTGTGCTTAGAAAGCAACTCAACTGTCCCCGTGTTTCACCTTCCTGTTTTAAGTAAGCAGTGCACATGCCGCAGCCTGCGAACGCACGGGGCCCTGAACAGAGATGCTCACACGAAACAGAACGAGGATTTCACACGTGCAAACTCACAATGATGAACACTAACAGTAAACTTCTAGGGCTCAGCCCCAGCTGCAGTTCGACTAACCTGGTACAACGTTACCCCTAAACTCAACTCTGATAATTGCCAGGAATACAAAAACATTCCTTATAAAGGACTCACGTCACCACTCATAGGAATTTCAGACCGCAGATGTCTCCCCAAATGCTGGGCCACCTTTCCTTCCCAGCTCAGGTCTTGAGAAGCTTCCCTCTGCCAGCATCTGTGCTAGCACCAAGGTATCTTTGCTATAAAGCACGCGGATGGAGGGCAAAAAGCAGTGTCCAGCGCCTATACGCAAGGGGACAGGGGAAGGCGAGCATTTTTCTGTAGATGAAAATGAGGTAACTTCATGAGAAATAAAACACAACAAACATTGTTGCAGTGGCGGCCCTGACCACCTCACCTTCTCCTCTGTTCTCCCCATCTCCCTTCACCCCCTCAGCCACAGTTTGGGCAACCTGCTCGGGTTATGGCCGGGCACGCGCTCCCAGCGGTGTTCTGAGGAGACCGGTCTTGTCAAGACACATTCAGCAGCCCGTAACTGAGAAGTTTTACATCCCCTGACAATGATTTCCAAGTTCCTTCTCTTGATAAATAGCAGCGAAGAACGAGGGAAAGTAGTCAGCAATTTATAATTACCACCAGGGTATAAAAAAAAAAAAAGGTGTTGATGTAACCAAGAAGTTCTTAGCCTGTACAACAAAAGACAGCGAGGTGAGGTTAACACAAGTGGCATCTGCCAGAGTTTCCTACCGCCCCTGGTTTTCACCTAGCAAACCAGCCGAACAGTAGCAGGTTTTTTTTTTGTAAAAAAAATATAAATAAATATAAGGAAAGACAAAACAATTTCCTTTGGCATCTTCGAGAATGATTTACACTAATTCAAGAAAAAAAAATCACTGACTACACCTTAAAAAGCTGTAAAGACTAAGCAGATGCACTTAGTATTGCACTGATATGAGTTACAAGTATTTACTGTCTGTGCCCTGAAATATTTTAAGCTTGGACACGTCAGACAGAAAGCCCAGGGAACATCCCTGAGCTAGTTAGGTCTCTACAGCTCTATTTTCTGGTTCTGTTCTACTATGACTATGCTCCAGTAATTTAACACATACAACAATGTTTCTGATTTCCTCTCGTACAATTTATAAACAGACTGTCTACGAAGTGTGAAACTACTGCAACTTGTACTTCATAGTTCAAGAAAAATCCCAAACAGACATGTATTTCCCCACCCCGGCCCCATGAATCCTACTGCTCAGGAGAAGAAACAGTGACGGAAAAGATGACTTGTACAGTACTTTATGATCAACGATCCCCGCTCTATTCTCAGGATTTCTCTGAACTTACTTGTCAGATATATTCTCAAGAGTTAGCATCATATTCATAAAGGCATTACCGCTCTCTTTAAATAGATGTACTAGTGTTTGAAGTTGCAAAACTAATAATTTTCAAGCTTTTGCACTCGGGATGAAATGTCATTTTAATACGAATAAAACGACTGACTGTATGTACAAGCCAAGATAAGAGTTCAGTTCTCGTTTATCAGAAACATCAATCCAAAAGAAAGCTAAATTGAGAACACACTTCTACTTCTATGTGCATTTGAAGTATGTACAGAAAAAACACCAACACAGCCTCCATGTGTCAACTAGAGAAAAATGCAAGCAAGGATGAATTTTAAAGTACCTGGTAAGCAATCCTTAAATCGAAGCCCAAAATAAAGCTAGAAAACTGCTGCAAAAACAGCTGATTGCATCATATCAAGTACTCAAAAGAAAAAAATAATTCTCAGTATGCTAGAGAATTAGCGTTTTCCTCCTTCAAATCCAGTGAAATCATATTATCCAGGATATACTGAACATTTTACATCCATTTAAGACAAGAAAAGTAAAGAAAACCAGCTCCATCTTTTTGTGCTATATCGAGGCATAATAAACCCTTATGAGATGTGTAGAAAATACGATGGATGAAAATCATCACTGATAATTCAAAATATATTCTTTAGAAGGGAGCCTAGGCTACTGTAAATGGCACACAATTCCAACAGATAATGAGAAATAATCCAGCGAGGGTTTTTAGCTGTATGATGTCAGGGAGAGGACACTGAGGTTTCCCATTTTATAAGCTAGGAAGAAAAAGGTTCTGAATAGGTCACCATTTGGAACTTTGGGTAAATCTTTTAAGTCTTTCAGGAAAATAGGTACAAGAACACTCGAGTATTTAAATGGTGCTCTCTTCAGCGACCCTACCTAATACGTCTATTAAGTACAAGCATGCAAATATAGGTCAATCCACAGGCACATAGGATCCATGTTAAAAACAGTAAGATAGCTGTGATGAGTGGCACCAACAATTTTGATGACTAACACTCAAAAATGTTGCTTTCTGAATTACTAAATCAAAATCCTGAAGCAAGTTCCTGCTAGTCTTCGTCACACTGCTAAACACTAAAGTAGGCATGTTTTTCCCCCATTATTTTAGCTGAGCTCAAAGAATTTTTACAATATTTAGTAAGAAAAAAATTAAAGTATTTCCCCTTTTTAAATTTACACAGACGTTTAATTAGCTTTATTTACAGAGCGGTTTTTCAGTCTCCAATAGTGCCTAGATAGCATCATCAGGCAAGAGTGCCAGTTTTAAAAGAGAATCTATATAGAATCCTAAAAATAACAGATGGTGATGCTCCTCCAGAAGGGGCAAGCTGGACTACCGAAGCAGCTCTCTCTACATGGCTCAGTTACTCAGGAGTAATTCTGTTGCAGTCTCTACATCCCATGATTTTGAAGACAAGGCCACTATTACTGCATTCTGCAATGAGAAAACAAAAAGCAAAACAGTATTTAAAATGTGTGAGCCTGAAGCTGAGAAACAGAATGAGAAGTTTGCAGATTGATCAGAACACATTTGCCACTTGTCAAGAAATAACTGATCATTTATAAGAAGATTATTTCAAAAAAGGCGGAGGTGGAAGAACATTTAAGTTAATAGATACTTACCCTATCAAAGCCCATAGCACAAAGGTTTTCTATTTTTCTGGTGTATTCTGGACTAGAAACTGGTGCTCCAGCATACACATGTGCCCAAAGTCGAGCTGTCTGTTTAAACATTTCTGGATTTTGTTTGTACTACACAAAAGAGAGAGAGGGGAGAATGGGAAAGTTAAGTCAGCTCAGCAGTCCAAGCAAACAGTACGATGATGCGGCAGATTCCTACCCGTAATTCTTTCTGTAACACCTTCAACACTGTTTCACACAGATCACCCCCGTATTTTTGAAATGAAACTTGGAGGCGAGGATTTCTTGTAGAGAAAGCCTGTGCAAGCATTTAATTTCATGTGTTTGCCTTTAGATTAAGTTATGCACTACAGGTATTTTATGAGTACAATCAGTTACTGCTCTCAGCTGCATCGATCGGGAGCTAAGTGGCCGTGTTTAGCACAGCTACTGAGATTTTACATTCAGTGCAGCAAAGCACAAGCTGCCCCTGTGTTGACATCTGCTGAATATATGCACTGCACACCAACATGTTTCTCTAATCACTAGGAAATATGCCTGGTTTTGCACACTGCAAGCAGTTCTGCAGTTTTTTGGGGAGGGTTGGCATTTTACTGCTGGGCTTCCTCTGGAAAATAAGGATATATAAGGGTAGTATGTGTGACCAAAAAAGGGCTGAAAAAACAGGTGAACATGTGTGAGAAAACAGGACATCACAACTCTATGCAAGCTACCGATTATCAGAAAATAAAAACCACACAGGGCACGTAAGTATTATTTTGCACCCATTTTGCCACTAACAAGTTTTCTGGTAAACAACAGAACGGACCAGAGCAGAGTTTTCAGCCAGTGCCAGGAACTCAAAGACAAGAAAGTGGGTCAGCTGTCATAAGTGGTACACAACAAAGCAGGAGGAGTTTCCTATTTTAGCAACTTTCATCTATAAAATAGATTTTTTAAAATCAAGATAACCACATATTGTTTTATTAAAAGACAACTTCTTCCCCCTTTATCATTACAGTTGAAAAAATATTTTCCCATCCTTAGTCATGCAATTACTTTTAGCACTAAATAATAAGACAATACTGGGAAATACACTATTAAACTATTTAGACACATTTTAAGGATAGAAATACAACTTATTATCATTCTATGTATTTTACCAGTGCATGTAAATGATCATTACATCTGTAAAACACATTTCAAGAGAACACTGCTCACATTCCATTTTATTTCCAACAGCACACACTCCAACCCCACTGCACTGTGTGCTCTGTACACCTCACACTAATTCTGCCCTACATTAAGTAATCTGTGTAGCTACTATCCAGTTATTAATGGCATTAAAACAAACATGAGAGAAACTACTGTTGGGAATAACTCAGTGTTATTATACACACACAGTAATCTGACATAAATTTCTTATTATAACTGAAGAAACAAGGAAGCAGTAAGTGTAGCATCAGTAGCCTCCTGGGGTACTGTATTTTTCTGCTCTTAACGTATCTTCCCCCCAAGTTATTATGATTTTTTTATTGTTCTGTTTTTAATATATTTGAACACACCACAAGCCTAATAAACAACCAGATGAAGCGCAAAGCACTGAAGTTGTGTTTGCATAACCACACTTTATTCAGAACTAGCTTTCACTGTTCTATAAATAAAATTGCTTTAGTTATCTGTAAATAATCCAGCTCCCTGAACTGAGAAGCCTACAGGCACCTTTACTGTTGTCTCTATATCAGGAATCACAGTCAATTACGTTGCTGTACTTAAAACAAAAACACCTGTATTTAAGCAGAACACCACTGTGCTCTCCTGGAGATTTAGCTTAGCTCTTCTAGGACACTACCATTTACCTGGACAGTTTAGCAGTCTAACAAATAGTTCAGTAAATTCACTAAGTAAAAGCATGGAGGAGAAATAATTCCTTGTAAATTTGGGGTTTTGAAAAAAGTTTTTTTTTTTAATTTTATTTTATTTTATTTTATTTGAGATATGGGAGAGGGGACACAAGAGAAACCATCCACCCCACATGGAGGATCTGGATGCTTACCATCACATCTCTCACAGGGACTATAATCACTTTCTACTGACGTACACAAGCACATAACTGAAAGCCAATCTGCTAACGCAGCTTTCATGCAGATATTTGCAGGGACCAGGAGAACTGAATCCTCCCCACACCAGCCGTGCCACAGTCCCACTGCACACATCCCTACAGGCACCTAAAAGGCAGCCTGGAAAATTGCTCTTCAGAGTCCAGGAAGATTCCTGAAGTCTTTTGTCTGAGAGAAAACAATTTCCAGCTGAAATGTTTCTATGGGACTGTTAGGATTCCCACACAAAATTCTAGTAGCAGCAGCCAGAATGGGAAACTCCATTTTCCTTCTTTGTGAAAAATGAAAAACTGATTTTTGTTTACCTGAAAAGAGGATGTGACAGCAAGGACAAACATCTGGCAAGAAAAACCTGTGCAGGGGCATCATCTGCATAGGACGCCTGGTGGCTTTGCTGGCCTTTGCAAGGATTTCCCCCTGCCTACAGTGGTTCAGTCCAACAGAAGCAGATGTTCTACACTTACACCTGAATATACACATTTGAGTAGCTTTAAACCAGCTGTTCCACCCTGTGACATACTGGGCTACCTCTCATCTTCGTGTTTCCCTCTAAAACCTGACAGGTTTGATGAACTATCATCCTACACAGAAGTAGGTGCTTCTTTTCCCTAAAAAGTCTCTCTTTTCCAGAGTGTGCTGACTTCGAGGAGATAGAGATAAGATCGATGATGGAAGAACTTTTTCCTTGACTGGGTTTTTTGTTACTGAAATGTACCCTTATTATCAGTCAATTGCAAAGCCAAGCCCTCACTCTCCCTTCTCCCCTGAGAAAAAAAGGGCAAACAACACATACATACTTGAGATTTTGCTGAAAATTGTCAAACTATTAAGTCATGGAATGATCATTCCTATCTTTAATCAACATTTTAAGTAGAATTGGTGTGGAACAAGACCCAATTAACACTATTTTTATAAATTCTTGCTACTGTCTCAAGAATAACAAACCTTGCTGATTGCATTAGAATTCTACTGATACCTATTTAACTAGTGACTAAAAGAGTTACCCCAAGTACTTGCAAAGGTTAAATACAAAGGATGTATCATTCAGATAAAATGCATCTCAGGTCTGAATGCTACAAGTAATTACTCAAAATTTTGACATTATCAAATACAGTGCTCTACAATATTCATAATAATCTAGGAGAGGAGCTACAAGCCAAACTAAATGCAATGAACACCAAGTTAAAACTTGTCTTTAACACATTTTAATAGTTAAAGCGTTTTTAATAGTAAAAGATTTTAAAAGGCAAGTTATACTGGAATTTGTTTTACTATGTTATCTCCTGACATTCATGTCAAACTAAATAAGGAAAAAAACTGACACTAAATCTCTTGACACTGTAAAAATAACTGCTACTTTGGAACCTAGAGAGTAAAGATCATAAAGACACTGTAGTAACTCGTGCTTACTGTAAAGCAATTTTCCAATAGATTATTTAAAACCTCTCTCTCTCCCAAGGCTTGGGACTTGATCTGAGTTAAGGAAGGTTACAAATGTGTTAGAAGTTCATAGTCAGCTGAGCACCTTACCTGGTTTGCCACTACTGCGTCTTGTGGATCATCTGGTTCTGCAGCTGCCAACAACGCTTGCAGTGATAACAACACTGTTCTTAGAGTCATTGCTGCTGCCCTAAAATTAAAATTTGAAAATGACTTTACCAAATCCCATGTCTTTAGTCATCTGTGCTGTTACAATCCTATAACAGAAGATATAAAAATATAGAGAGTTTTTAAAGCTAAATGTCACAATTTCAAACTGCTGCAGCTCAGAGGAACTAGAGCACCATTCAATATATACTGAAATGAAATTTTAAATGTGGATTTTGTCATTAACAATGCTTTCTGAAGCGTTTGGAGAACGGTCCTTGACCTACACAATTGACCTTATACACTTAAAATTAATTTCACTTGCACAAAGAAAATTAGCCTGAAGTTTGCGTTGTCCTTCCTTACTTCCAGTAAAAGTACCCTGCATAAACTCTAGGTACAGAACCGGCAGCCCATGTGTGCTCCCTCTGCTGGCACTCTTGAGAGCAAAATAGCATATACAGAAACAGTGACCTATATTTTAAATTCTCATAACAGATGAGGAATTTTACACATTTGGTATCTTTTGCATTGTACCATTTTAAATATGACATTTTTCCCAATAAAGTTCAATGATTTACGTAGTAAGTTACTAATACAATAATATAAAGATAATGAATATCATTTCTGTGATCTGCCATGTCGGCTGGCACATACTGGCAATCAAATAAGTACCCCACTGAGCTGAGCAGCCAGGTAGACTCAATTGTTGTGGTGCCAGCAGGGACGGATGTTCAAACTAACACAGAAAACTATTTACCCTGCTTAAGAACTAGTAGAAGGGTAAGGGGGAAAATGTGCCATCTTACATTTGATCAAGGTAGTTACGGCACATGAAATGCTAAACGAAAGTTGTGAAACACGGGCACAATCAACAGAAGTATCAATCTACAGAAAGTTGCTTTTTTTTTTTCCCCCAAGAAGGCTGAAAGTAAATGCAGTGAGTTTGATGGAGCGGGTGGAGCTTCACCTGATGGTCCAGATACAAAAATAAACAGTTTGCAAGTCTATTTCCAGTGTCAGGTTCCAGAAGCTCGAATGTTTTCCAGTACATAAGCACTGTATCGAGGTACTCTGGCACAGCATATTGATGAACAGATGCTGGTAAGATGTGAGAAGTAAGTTTGTGACGCCTGAATATTATATCCCAAGGCACGTGTATGCACAGCTTTCCTGCTATGTCACTCACAGTCAAATAAGGCATTCTTCCCTAACCATTTCTAATTCTTCAATGTTTTTCCTAGAAACTTAGCATTTTTTTTTTTAAAAAAAAAAAGAAATACCAATGCTTGACAATCACACTGAGCTTCCACAGTGCAATGTTCCACATCAAAATGCAAGTGAGAAACATCCCAAGTGATAGAGATTTTAATTAGCACATATTGTCTTAATTCAACCGCAACATCAGCTTCAAGTCCCTCAAGCTTAACTTTGTAAACTTAACTCCTCGGAACAACAAAAAAAAAAAGCCTTCATGCTTTAAGATCTGTACTCTGACAAATCACAAAACCATCACAAACCCTCCAAACCTATTCTTTAGGTAACTAAGCATTTTTTCCCCAGGATTTCAGACTCTTCCAGTCAATTTAAGATTAAGTATTTCAACTTCCAAGCTGAATGCTTCCCCCAAGCCAGAGAATGCTGCTTTAAATTACAAAGAAAGCTTGGGATTAACTAGTAAGATGTTTAATCAGATAAAGAACACCTAGTTATTGAAACAGCCTCAGTTGCATGATGAGAACGTAGCTAACTCAGGAAACTCAGGAGTACAAAGCTTGTTCTTCTATACCTAAATCTCACACACACACAAAAACAGGGTGACAGAATATTAAAATATTTTTGCTTCACATGCACCTGTGCTATTTTGCTCTTAAAATTTCCTGTGCTGTCATCTCTGCTGACCGATACCATTTTGAAATTCATCTGCTTAACTCACGTATTGCTGGCACAACTCATAGAAGTATCTGCTAACATTGACCAAATCTGAATGCAATGTGTTTAACTAGTCTGGCACCTAGGTGTCACAGGCCACTAGTCTTTCAGGCCAAAGCTCAAAGAGACATAGTTTTTATTTTTATGCATGGAATTTCAGAAACTACTACAGCCCAAAGTTGTTTTTTGCCCAGTTATTTCATTATGCTGCTCAGTATCATTCTCAGGAAAGACTTAACATTAAGTATCTCTCAACTGTAATCAATGCTGTAATTACTTTCACCAAATTAAAGCTGTTCTGGACTTTCCTTTACACAATTCCTACTTCAGAGGTGTCTGGAAATACTACCATTAGTAAAACTGGAGTAAGTCTCAAGAAAGGGGTTTCAGCAGCACTTTTACAAGCAATTTACTTCTATCTGCACTGTACCTTTTAGGACTAGAAACGATAGATCGAGGTGCAGGAGCATTACCTAGGACAAAAAGTGCCATGAACAGCTAGAACAAGAGTCCTGTGGTGGCTCCAGCAGTCTCTGGTTTTCAAGCCTGGTAGGCCCTTCCAGTCCTCACTCAGCTGTTACGTTTGTAGATTTTTATATAAAGCATACTGAGACTTGAACTTCTGTTCTGACATTCCGATTTCAAAGTGAGTAATAAAAATAAATACCTCATCCATTTGGATATACAGATGGCTATATGCTAACTCACAACTCAAACTCTAAAAAATAAGCTTATAGACATGACTAGTTTAGCTACATATGTAAAGAGGTTTAAAAATGTAGTTTACAACTTTTCAAGTCTCAGTTCCCAGAATGGCTTCCTCATCTCATGCATAATAAGACAGCCTTCATTGGATACAACCAAAGAAATATCCTTAAGTTATTAAAAAGCTGAAACTGTAGCAGGTTATTCCTATTGAAAATGGAAATTAAGGTTTATGATTAACAGTAAAGAAAATCTGACATATTTAGTGTAGCTATCATATACTCATTTAACATTTTCTACCTTGAGGACATCCATTGCCTTTCCTGATCAAAGCTTAAAAAAAAAGACTTTGTACTTATATAGTTTAGACTTAATTTTTCAGAAACAAATTAAGATTCCCAGAAGAAACTGGAGGGACAGCTAAAAATAGATTCTTATTCCCCCATTTCCTTAAAAAAGTCCTCTTCTTTCTTCCCATTACTTTCTCTGGGGAGAGTAAAGCAAATAGAGATGACTGTGCAGAATTACATTCACAGACACTGGAAAAGCAGGACCTGTTCCTCATTAGCAAAGAGCAGAAACAATTGTCATCATCAGTTCTGGAGTAAAATCTAGGCTGACAGTGGCACAAAAAAACCCAAACACAACAAACAAGAAAACACAGAGGCACACACAAAATCCCTGACCCACAAGCTACAAAGAACGCACTGCAAAAAAAGTTGTGAGGATTTTCCTTAAGACCAACTTGCAACTGAAAGCCATCATCTGCCTTTTCCAGTGTTCCTCAAAGGCTTATTTTGCAGGAACATAGTTCTGAAGAAAAAAGATTTCCAACTCCTCTTCTACTTGAAGCTCATTTCTAGGTGTGGATTTATGCACCAACATGCTATCATCGAGTTCAAGCAATTCCCTTTAGTAACACAAGCTAGCTGCACGTTTGGGTTTAAATTATTTTTCCCCTTCTTCTCTTTGCTAAAGGCACGGGTTTGTATTACTCTTGACAGATTTTTGTCTAATTTGTTCTTAACTGGAGCCTCACAAGTTTCTTGGAAAATCTGTTTCAGTGCTTCACTGTGATCGCTACTCGGCATGCTGAAACGGTTTGCTAAGGTCACATTTGCTTAGGCCATCAGTCTTATTGCTTTGGTCTGGATTTTTCCAATGGTTCCTGTCTTTCCTGGAGCACAGTGCTCAAAGAGGGTACAGCAACTCACTTGAAACCTTATAAATTATATATAAAAAACAGGCAGCTTATATCATGAGCTTTGAAGGTAAACCTTTTACATCCCAGCATCCTATTTGCCCTGCAACAAGTCCCGTAACGCTACTGGCTTCTGGTTCTTTTAAACTTAGTAACTCCTGACCCTGCCCCAAAACACTGCTTAGCCACTACACAGGGTTGCTATCTTGACATACATAAAATGGGTGGGAAATGGGAAAGGAGTTCAAACCAAAAGCCCCTACCCTGCACCTCCTCTCCCCATACAGGCTTTCTATTGGCATGGTATTTGTTAAATTTGTAAGTGAATTGCAGAAACGTACTCCACTAAGGGAAACCTTGAGTGAATCAGGAAGCTGATGGATCTGATGCCTATACATCATATGCAGACATGCTTGCCTTTTTTTTCTTTAATCTTGGGGCTTTTCCATTAAAAATAAGCAGCCTTAGCTGGGGGTGAACACAATGCTAATATTATAAAACATGGCAATCCAGTTGTGCCCAGCACGCCCGAGGTAAGAAATCCCTTACCTTTTGATAAGCTGAAAGAGCCCTAAGAGGATTACAAAACACTGCCAGCTTCTCTCCCTCTTCCATCATTTTTAAAGGCTAAGTAATTTTCTCTTTATGCTCCACACACCCCTCTCAGAACACAGCCTTTCTGGTACTTCACCTTTGAAAGGTAGCCCAGCACAACGGCTGCGGCCAGCTGACTGCTGTTCTGCTCTGTCAACCAAGCATGGTTGCTGGAAACTGCTTTTTTTATTTTAATTAAATAATCCGCAATATTTATTCAATTTGTGGTAAAACTAAACTTGTTGATCCAAGAGAAAAAGCTCTGGGAATTTGTACCAAGGGTTTATGGAGGGAGGAGGTGAATCAGGCCTTTAAGCAGAAGCCTGCTGTAGAGTCACTAACAAGAGGAGAGATACAAGACTGGACAGGGGGGGCTTTGACATCAGGGCTGGGGGGGATGGCAGGATGCCAGTGAGTTACCTCAAACAGCGTTAATGTTCTCCACATTCCTCTCAAAGCTCTGAAGAGGCTGCATTCCTCAAACAACCTGAACAAAACCCAGCAGGTATAGATGCCCAGGATGATTACTACTAACTGGTTGTTGCCTATGCATTAAAATTGCATTATCTTCTATAATAACGATTTTGCATCTCAACTAAAACTGAAGCTTGAATGCTCCAGCATAGCCACGCTCTTCTAATTAATTTTTATTTTGCTTGTCAAAACCACAACAGCCAATAGTTTTTTTGTAGCAGCACACAGCCACAACACGCCCGTTTGATATTCACTGCTCAAGGGATGCATGCAAAACAGCTTTCAAACAATTTGGCTCTCAGATTTCAACAAAAAGTATCGGATACATTTTCTATTTAAGAGTAAAATTAAGGGATAGAACACTAGCCCGGAAGATAAATATAGGCTACATTAAGAGAAACCACATAACAGGAGTCAGATCAGATCAGCATAAAAAGATATTCTTCCTATAAAATCATACACCAATTTTAATTCCACCAGCAAACAATAGTTGTTTTGCAAACAAAGTGGCACAACAGGTATTTACAAATCTAAACATGAAAATCCACAGCTGCAGAGAATTTCAGCATCAACCATATACTGTGGAGAAAGAAATTCATTAAACTCATTACAAAAACATTTAAAGGCATTACTTCACAATCTGACAAAAGCTTCTGCCAATATGCATAACAATATCTCAGCCATGCTCATTAGAATAGAAAATCATTACCATGGGATGGGTAAGTATGGGAGAAACATGTCTTAACTACAGAAATACATGAAAATTGTGTTTGTATTTGTCATGTATATCATTTTATTAACTCTTAAAAAAAGCAATATTAGGCCCAAATTCTCATAGGCCCAAGTTCTGTCCTTCAGCTCCCACCGACCTCAATGAAAACCACAGATACACACTGGAATTTACAAGTTACATTTAAAACACAGCAACAAGAGTATTATTCCATTAAGACCATTACAAGTCAAAGGCACTTCAGAAACTGAGCTTGTTACTAAGAGATTTGACTTGAGAGATTGAGACTACGTCTACCTTCTAGAACAAAACTACCAGAACATCTCAGATATCAATAACTATCACACTGAAATTGTTCAAACAAGAAAGGATGGATGTAGCCAGAACCATGTCCTTTCTCCCACAGGACCTGGGGCTTGGAAAAGCATTTCAACACCACGCTAGCAATTTTCACTTACCATGCTGTGATTTAAAAAAAACACAGAACAAAGATGACCACACACAAAAAATCGCCGAGAGCAACACATTAGAAAATTAAGGGATCACTACATCAAGAGTCATTTTGGAAAGGGCATATAGCACATAAGCAGCCTTACCCCACTGCTACCACCAAGTTCTGTGAAATTCTTCCCTCAGTGTTTCTAGATGAAGACAGCATTACAAAGGAAGAGTTCAATGATGCACAACTGGTGTGATATTGGTGCTCCCTGTGCCAGAGTTTAAATACACAGAAGGCAGTTCTTGTTCAAATACCCCTATTTTGTATACATCTTGATGATGGAAGGTAAGATGCTTTCTTTATTGGCAGAACTAAGACACAGATTAGGCGATCTGTGCAAGACCTAACTTTCACAGATCACAAGAGCACAAGTCAAATCTCCTCTCCTGGCCTTCCTTGCCAAATTTCAATTTGAAAAAAAATAAAAAATAGAAGAGGAAGCTCATTCTTTCTTTGGGTCTTAAATGTTTGTCTGTTGCCTTTTGATATTTTACATTTTTTAGCTTGATCAGCAGCTGAAGAGGCCAGGAACTTTCATCTGAAAGCCATTAACTGCCTAATTCCTAAAGCAGCAGCAACTGTGTGGGATAAGACTGAGTTTTAAGTCAATGTCTGGCAATGCTCAAAGACAAAGGTGACCTGTTCCAGGACCTGTTCCAAAGTGTGGTCTCCTGAATCCTAGTCCACTGCTGCAGAGGCAAGAATATTCATCCTTCCTCACAGGAAACAATAATTAGGGAATATATTAACATGATGACAACAAGAAAATGTTTTTTAAAAAATCTGTTAAATGACTTTGCATTATTTCCAAATATGATAAATACGGAAGACTTCTGCTAGGAACTGTTTCCTCCAAGTTTTCAGTAGAAAGTGACAGATATCATTTAAAAAAACACAGGTGTTTAGGAGCTTCAGATAGCCTTGAAGATACTTGTTAAAGTCACAGACCTTGATAGTGTGAATGAAGCAACCCGACAGCACGTAAAGTATCAGCAAAAGATGGAAGAAAAAAAAAAAGACAACCCTGAACTTATAAGCTTTGGACAAATTCCTTGCAGGAGAGTATTAATGACACTAGGATGCAGTTCCCTGTTAGCCATCTTTGTTGCTAGAAATAAAGAATGCCTTCCCGTGCACTCACTATCTAAGTCTTACCCGAGTGAAACCTCCTCTCCCAGGTAGGCTCACATGCTCTAGATCAGATCAATGAAACAATCTCTTAAAAAGATCCCCCAAAGTTTGTTATTTTGACTAAAAACAACCCCAAAACAACCAACCAAAGAAAAAAAATCCAGCACAGAAATCAACCAGCCAGCCTTCCTTCTGCCCTTTCGCTAATCTGGTTATTATCTGAGGAAACTGCACTTAAATATTTCTTCAACTGTGCATCTCCAGTACAGTTGTAGGGTGGGATAAATAGCTACGTGTAGGTTAGGGAAGTACTGGCTTTAGTGATAGAAAAACTGCTTGAAATATAGTCAAGTGCTGCAAGATTGCAAGAAAATCAAGCACTTCCAATAATTAAAAGACAAGTAATGACAAGTACAGCTTCTTAGTATTTCATTTTAGTTATGCACCATACCCTGCCATGTTTCACATAATCTTATCACCACACAGAAGCATACTCCCAATGTGTCAACTGTAAGACCTGAACTTGAGCTTTCTGCTCTAGAGTTTCTCTTCCAAACCCAGCTGACACCTGCTTGGCCAACACTGGTCTTGATTAAGTTGTGGAAGTCAGGAGCATCGATCTAGCTGGGAATTACAACTCCTATTCTTTTGGAGCAGACACGGAGGAAAGAAACAAAGATGAACTCCACTCTTATGCTGGACATCAGAACTACAGCATGAGTGGTGCACGTACTTCATATTGTGCCACTTGGAAAAACAAGCCTACAATGAGCTTGGCTGTTACAGTTTGGACACTTAGAGATCTGTTCCAAGGATTTTGGTCATTACAATCTTTTCAGAGCTGTTACAGTAACAAGTAATCAAAGTCAGCAATTGACAAGCAATTTAACTGCAAATGGTTTAGAGGTTCACATCGTAAGTATTACCAACTATAACCTAGACAGAATTAGTATGGTGGTCTCCTTCTCTTTCCTATTGTCTACCTGTTACCTTTTACACTCTTAGATTCCCAGATATACTCCATGTGTTGCTTTAGCTCTTTGGGAACTAATTTTATTTGGAAGCACAAGCCAAGAATCACAATGAAGATAAGCACTTGGTTTTTCTGCTTACACCTCAGGAGGCTGAAAGGACAAAATTCAGGAGGCAACAGGTAGCATTTGTTACTGGAGAATTACATAAAAATCATTAACAATTAAATGCTCGCCCTAATCCTAATGCAAAAAAAAAAAAAAAAGCTAGCTCTCTACTCAGTTAATATCAGTACTTAGTACTTCCCAAAATTACTACCCAGCTATTTCATTAGGATCCTCTTTTCAACTCAAAATAGTCTAATGCAATACTTTAAGGACACATGAAATTAAAGATGCAAACATGAGCTGCTGCCTCCCATCCAGGAGGCTGGTATACTTGATTTTGCATATTTAAGCCTGTAGGGAATCTTACCATTGATCTTTCAGTATATCCAAACAAATGGCCCCAGTAACTGAGCTAATATTAGGATGCCATATTTTGGTGATAAACCGCACCTAAAACACAAGAAAATTAAAATAAATAAAATAAAATGGTTATTACATGCAGTATATTAAGTAAACATTTAAAATGCACCATTTATAATCATATCATGGAAAAATACTAATTTAGGAAAGATCAAGCTAAAAACAGAACAAAGACATAAGATATGACATATTTCAGGAGGTTTGCAAGTCCAACACAGCCTTGCTTTACTGAGAAATGGATGACTGCCCATTTGAATACACCAAAATTATCCCCAGCTGTTTTCCTGGATACTGTCACATGGGCACGCCAGAAGTCATTTTGAAATACCTTCCAACACTACCAACGTTCCAACAACAGTTAAATACAGACTTAGATCTTCCAACATCGTCAAATTAGCTTAAACACTGGAAAGTCTCCTCAATTAATGCTGTGAAGCAGGTCCCTGAACCTGAGATGTAGCCATTGGATCTCACTGTTCAGCGAAATTGCTGATAACTATAGGAGTTAAAAGAATTTCTTTGGTCACACTACTTTTACAACTTTCTAGTCCTGTTATTCCTATGCACAATGCTCTTCCACAAACCAAACGCTAAATAGATTATTTTTCTTAGCTGAGACAAGATCCTTCCAACAGCAGTCTCAGCACTCGCTCATTGATCACATCCACATTTTAAACACTAAAAAGTGTATTCACGCTTATCAAGCGTGCATTAGAAATCCTTTTTAATTTTAAGGACATCAAGAAAGTTAAAAGTAGCATTTTATTTTAGAACTCTTATACAGCAAAGCTGTCCTCTGAAAGGAATGTATACAAACCTGTGATTATATATAGAATTTTCTTCATTTTCCTCAAACCTCTTAAGCTGCATTTTAACTGCTTTCTACCAACTTTCACCTGTCTCTGCATTTCCTATCTGTATCTCTTAATCCTAAACTCTTGTCATTTTATGAATGGCACAGATTTTCCTTCATCTTTTGCTCCTGATCTGCAAGCATGTTAAGCACAGAGGACACATCGTTTGTCAAGTACTACTGCAAGATACTGTACATACAGGGCTATGATAAAATCAAATCCACAAAATGGTGTATAAATAGGTGAGGCAATACATTTCTGCTTTCCAGTACAGAAACTGAGAGATCAAGTCTGCCTCAACTCTGTAAACAACAACAAAACACCACAAAACAAACAAAAAACCCACCATGTAAATTCTGGGTATTTTCTCACAGTGAATGCAGGTTAACAATGGCTGTCAAACCACATTCTGAACAAGATAAAGAAATCTTTCAGATGAAAGGCAGGGCTAGACACAAGCAAAAAGGCCTCCAATTCACAAATTCCTACTCCAGAAAAAGCAGTACTATGCTACAGTGCACTGAGTTTCTAACAGCTACCCATAAGCCTTGGCAGTGAGCACCAAGCCCTAAAGCAGCAATTAAACCACGGTCCATAGACCCATCTTTCAGGGTTTATGGCCAGTTTCAGCCTCCCTTATTTTAGCTCCCACCAGAACACGTGCAGATGAGAGAACTGAAACCAACGGACATTTCAGTAAGAAGAACCATGTCTTTCACTCCAGACTCAAGGAAGTCACTCAAGGGACAAGAGCTAAGAGCTACTGACACCTCTCCCCTCCTCCTCTTCCCTATTTCCTTCTCAGTGCCACACTAGAGTGAAAAAAAAACAGGATGTAGGACATTCTTAAATCGAAGAAATCTTTCAGACTTAACCAGAAAGCCAATCAAGAAGCTCTAAGACAGCTGTAAGATAACTCAGGAGCCTGCTGACTCATCATAAACCCCTGAAGAAGGGACTAAACAAGGGTACAGGAATATAAAATCGCAGCTGCACACAGCTGGGGAAGAACACTGTTCTGATCTAGTTAAGATTGAAGCAAAGACAAATTGAAAATGCCAGAAAGACACAAAAAGATGCGGTAAAACTGGAAGGGCACTAAGTTCCAGAAACATGCAAGTAAATTTAAATATTTTTCACATCTCTCATCCTTGTGCACTTTTACAATTTTATGTATTCCTTCTGTGGAGTTACAGTAAGATATTACTATTCCTATTGGTCCTGCAGGTCATAACAACTGCACGTCTAGCTGCATTTAATTATTTCTAGAAATTTGGCAGGTTAAACCCAAGACTTCACCAGATATAGCTTATGGAGTTATTAATTGTAATTAAGGAATTAAAGTAATTAAGGAATTAAAAGAATAAACAATTATCTAATACAGCATTTCTTCAGCGATTCTGAGGTGTGGCTGGCAGAAATCAATACCCTCTGCATCAAATAGAACTATCTGAAAGCTGTATCTTGCCAAAAAGAAATTACAGGAGCGTCAGTAAACTGCTGTCCAGAATTTACCAGCTTGCACTCTGAAGAATAATCAGAGGGTATTTCTGACTGAATAGTTACACATCTGACTGAACAGTTACACATCCTGCGTGATTTCTACCTAGAAAAGACAGCCCCAACATCTGTCTAGAGGAACAGAAGGTAAGTACTACACAGATATACACACAAGCAAATAAATAATACTCAAAACAACTTGTTAGACAAACTATTTTACCAAAATGTGTTTATATTACCTTAGGAGGATTAAATGGATATGTTTCTGGAATTTTTATCTCTAGTTGATATCTTCCACCTTCAAAAGACAAAAGCAAATTAGAAATTAAACCAGAGTATTAATCAAGCTTAGTCTTTTGTGAGCAAAGCCCACGTTTCTAAATGCAGAGGTTTTCAAGTAATTAAATTTACTCAGAAGTATTACCTAGAAGATACTTCCAGATTTTGCATACTTTATAAATAAATGAATATAAACAAAATCTAAAAGTCATATTGGCTTATGCAAATCAGAATCTATATTTATTAGGTATACTGAATGTGTACATTCACTTGTAGTTACTTATTTCAGTATTATAATTTGCACATTCTATTTAAGTAAAATATAACAAAATATAAAACATCCCAAAGACTAATACCAAATGAAATGAAAAGCCACAAAAGCGGACAGGGTAAATATGAAACGTTACTTTGACTGTTTCCTGATGCCTCATACCTACCAACAAGGTTGAATTTTTCCCCCTCCACATTACACAGTTGAAATTACTTGTATTTCATTTTAAGCTTTCCAGACCTCAGAATGTTCAAGGATGCCATCTAAGAAAAGTTACCATACTTCGGAAGAAAGGAAGTTCCAGTACTACTTAAAGTAAGTTCTCATGTTACTAGTTGAAGATGGTAACTATATTCCAATTCGGCACTTTTACATACTAGTGCTATTAACATAGTTTGTAGAATTAAGAGCATGTAATGAAGAATAGCAAGAGCTCTGAGGATGTAATCTTCTACTGCCCTTCTCTAAACATTTTTTTCTTCTCCCTTTACTATATTATTACCTAAGTCTATTTCAATTACTGTCTTGTTAACATTCGAGCTTTCTATCAATACTTCTGTCTTCTGGAGCAATCTCAAACTCTCTGCCTACTCACTCGAGATTATTTGCCAGGCAGCAGTTTAACGATGAAAAGAACAGACTAGAACAAAACAGATACACCAATTTAGACATTAGTTTAGCTTTTATAGAAACTGAAAGCATTGCTCCTCACTTGCTATTTTTTTCCCTATTCTACCTCTGTTCTGAAACTCTTTCTATCCTTAAATATACTTTGCTATGATTCATAAATTTTGGTGAATTAAAGTATTTACAATCACTTTTCTTTAGGATTTCAAGAGTGATTTACTCTGCAACAGCTCTATACAAAAACAGCTCTCAAATAGTCTTAATATAGGCAGTGAGGTCCACATGCAGGAAAAAAACTTCAAGAAACACTCTGAACAGCTAAAGCCTATGGCACCTTTTTAATCTGTGCCAGAATACATATTGAAAGGCACTAACATCTCTCACATTTTTAAATATAATTAAGTCTAAACACAGTACACCTGAAACGGCTTAGTGTGAGTTTGGTATTTTACACTGCCTACTGCAAGTGTTTCTTCCTCGCTTGATTCGAGGGTAACTCCAAAAGATTTAGAAGAGCCTACAACAGCATCAAGGCCAGTAAGCCCAAAATCGTCATAGTTAATTTCTAAATTGATTGCTTGTCTTCACTTACAATACAGCACAGGCGAAATACTTTTGAAGACACTTAACATTTACAACAACAAACCTTAAGTTTGCTTTTTCTTTTGTTTGAACCAAAGTACAATTCAGCAGCAATTTTTCAGCAAGAACCAGACCAATTAAACTGCTGCTGGATTACAGAAATTCATCGATCCCTGTTACAATTTTACTGCCATGCCATTTTGTAATGCAATATAATGCCTAGCCTTGGATATTATCATTTCTTTTGCTTGCTATTAAAATTTGCCTGTAAAAGACAGTCTATTACAGCCTTCTCCATAATAGTCTATTTAGCTGCCAAAGTTTTCCAGCTGGAAACTGGACTGACAACTCCAGGAAATTTTAAAAACTGCAAGGAGCAATGAGTTGGCAATATTATTTATCAAGTGTGTTGCTGTGCACTGAAGTTTACAGTTAGCTATATGGGCTTGAAGACCAAACAAACTGAACAAACCTGGACAATCCATGTCAGTTCCTCAATCCTAAATTTAATATGCAAGTGAACAGCATACTAACTGCCGTGTCCTGGTATTTCTGATTTTTTATTTTTAAAGTGAGCATGTATTTGTATGACTTTTTCTAAAATTTAATACTTGAAATCGAGTTAGCCACTAATGAAGAACATTCCTTCTGTACTCCCGGAAAGGACATCTCAAAACAGAATTAAAGTAAGTTTTAATAGTTTTCCTTGAAGAAATGCCCTACTATAAATTCCACTATTACCACGGTTTACATGCAAACTTGGTTTGAAATTAATACCTTGGTTACACAGGGTTTAAAAATTATCAAAAAAGCTCTTGAATTCCAGTAAAACACAGCAGCTATTAACATAGACTTTTATAGGTCCTCACTCCAAAAAGGTGTTTTAACATGGAATGCAACAGCATTTAAATTGCAGTTGTCTTGCCATGGTCTGAAAATTCATCAGTATCAATTGACAACTTACGGAAAAAATAAAAGCTGTAAATTTGTCAACAATAGACTGCACTCTGCCTCTCAGTCATACACAGACCGGTGTCCCAGCGTGGCCTATAAAAGAACTCTGTAGCTGCAGTTTGTTTTCAGATACCCCATCAGTTGTGGTCAGTGATAAATATTATTGTTCTGTCACTTCTCAACAGCCCTAGAACTCCCTCCTGTAGCAGGGAATTGTCTGACATGAATGGCTGTGCTAGCTTTTCTCCATAAAGTACTTGTGTTGTTCAGACCACAGATGACAGGAAATCATCTAGTAATTATGCAGTATGCATTACTGCTTTAGTCATAAAATGTAAACTACACACACTGGCAAGCCCTTGGTTTCATGCATTTATTCCCTTATGTAATTACAACGTTACAGAAATATTAACATTCCAAAGTAAAGCACACAGATGTCAGGAAACACCAGGATTTGGGTTGACAGAAACTGATTTTGCCCTTTGGGGCATATGCCTTGCAGACTGAAGTGCGGGGTCACATTGTTTCCCATGGTACCCCTGCCACAATCAGTATATTTAACAATTCTCCCCCACTCCCCACAAAATGGGGTATTTACTGTATCCTTTCATCCTCATCATTAAACATAAGAGCACGTATGTATGCATGCAAGTATGCCTGCGTGCACTTCACATCAACAAATTCAGCATTAAACATGGATTGCTGGTTTTCATTAGGATACGCTGAACACACAGTGCTCAGCTTTTGAAATTTTGGTCTAGCTGCATTACGTGGGCAAAGACTTCAGTTCCGCAGACAGGCATTAAAACCTTTTTTACTCTCTTCATGAGCTGCTATAAAGTTTTTTTTTTGTTTGTTTGTTTGTTTAATTTTGTGACACGTGAACACATCATTCACTCAAATAACCCTCAACACATTTTCCAAAAAAGACCCATTTTATAAACCAAGATAAATCTGGCCTGGAGGGGAAAAAAATGGCAAGCCATCATACTCCTATTCACCCAAGGAGTATGAACTATGAGGAAAACAAACAAACAAAAAAAAAAAACCTCTACAACTCAGATGTATCCTAGTACCCAATTAATTTTGCAATCTTAACATCTGTAAATAAGATTTGGGTTTATAAGACCAATTCTGTTTTCAAACGAACTGCTCCACAAAGCAAAAGGATTCACTTCCAAGTGGGTTTACCAGAAGGACCACGTATTTTAGGTCCACAGCATAATTCTCCTTTTAAATTGAAAGCACATGTTATAACCAGAAGAAATTATCTTCTTTCCAGACATCATTTTCTGTCAACTAAATCCTAGTGACTGATGAGCTGAGGCTATGGAGATATGGGAGAAGGGAACTGTCATTACTTGCTTGACAGCAGAGAGGACTCAAGTTCTGGAGGACTCAAGCATCACTACATTAGATACTTCCACTTTTCTACACTCTTCCCAGACCCATTTCCTTTCTCCTCAGCTTCCAACACCTTCCATCCTGCTCAATATTCTCCAGCATCAACCTTTATTAGGTTGTTTCCTTGTCCTTTGCTCAGTCATAGCAGCCAGAATTGTTGGGAGACTCTACTCTAAGTCTGGTGCTGCTGTGGATGCGATCCCAAGGGGAGTCCTTCTCAGTTAAGCTGTGACAAGTGGATTTTCATCAGCAACCACTGAGGCTTTTGAGTGGATGTACACCTATACTGACAACAATTTTCAGATCCTTTCCCCAATTGATTACAATTTATCATTCAGACTAGTGACAGAGAGCCTGTGTCCGATCCCTAGGCAATAGTCAAATCTCCATCTTAGCTTCGAGACACAAAGCAACTAGAGTAACTGAAAACTTGGAAAACTGTTTTAATCTTCATCAAAACAATTTGTCTCCAACATTCAGTAAACAAAAATATCTCAAGGGAAGTTTAGCTAAAAACTCAAATTGCACTAGACAGGCATGGGAAATTTGGATAAAATACCATTTGAAAGTAAATTAATCTTTTAAAAGCCACCATCATTTGTCATCAAGAAACTTTAACAAAGGGTGTCTCTGCCAGCTCAGTAGGTATTACACACAAAGAGAACATTGGCAGTTACAAGCACTACTGGGTAAATTGCTATCTCAGAAGCTAAGAGCACATACCTGATCAGTTCCAGGTATTTTGTTTTTAAGTATGTATTAAAATTACCTTTCTTTTTTTTTTTAAACCGATGAGGCAGAGATGCATGACTACTGATATCAGCTTTTAACAAACTAGAAAGTCAGTAAGGTAATTTTTGAAGACAGCTGTAGACGAAGTTCCACAACAGTCTCCCACTCCAGTACAAATTAAGTACTGGGACCCAGGGATGCCTGAGATTAATCCCAGATTTAGCTTGCAATAGCATCTCTCTCTCAGACAGGATAACACAACAGATTTTTGAATAACCACCACAGAAATGAATGTATAGTGACATTAGACCATGAAACTTAGTTTCTTTATGCTAAGACACCTAAAACTGTTAGACCTGTAAACAAAGTCAGCGTTGCACCGGTCATACTGCACAGCTTATACCTGTAAACTAACCTTTGATATCGGACAGTCTGTCCTGCTGTAGAACAGATGCATCTTCAGGCAACAGAGAAGTTAAACTTTAAGCTTGAAAAATGTTTCAGTTCGTATTTAAAAAGCTAATCAGATTTTAAAACACATAGCTCTACATTTTAATGCTGTAAATTAATTTACAAACAAAGTATCTCACGACACATGAAGTACGCAATGACTGCATACACAAAAATATTACTTGCCTTCATATGGTGTGTCCGGAGGTCCTGCTATTTCTCCTCTTAATTCTGTAAAATTTTCATCTACAAGATCTACTTTAATTTGATTTTTGCTCGTCTTAAAAATAAACAGAGAAACAAAGAGTCGTAAGTAAGCATTTGACATACAGATTTCCCCCAAAATAAGATACTTCAAATTTCAGTCATTTTTATTTTTTAATTCAGTAACCCGAAGTGGATGGCTATCTTTCAGTTGGAGTTTTCCTCCATTAAAAGACAGTTTGTGAAGCATTAGAAAATTCAGCATCGTTTGTACTATCGCTAAAATAAGCAAAACAACCCAGCAATAGCTACAGTTATATTCATTGGTTACATTTTAAAAGGCATTGCAATCTGTCAAATTAGCTATGAATTCTAAATTATTCTAAAATTACATTGACTTAATCACATGTTGCTTTTTGTTTTCTTGTTTAGAGCTATGAAATTAATAATAGACATATCTGTCACTTTCACTGGGACACAGAAAGACTTCCCCAAACGAAGTGCTCACTGTTTCTGAACCATATCATGAACCAAACAGAATATTGTAGCCTTGTTTAAGATCATGTTTTCTTTAATAGTTAGAAATAAGGTACTATTTTATTTATACACTTGAATTTCATTGTCACCTCCTCAGCATTTTCACACCCCATACCAACTTGCCTACAAAATAAAAACACTGGATTTTGATACTGAAAAGTAGTTTCTGGAAAACATATGTTTTTTCAGAAGTGTGTAGCCAGAGCTATACATTCCATTGAATTTGCCTTCCAAATCCAGAGAGCAGCATTAATGAAATTCATACAGATCCTTCAGGCAGTAACATCTTTTTTGGACACTGTGAAGCAAAATTTCTTTTTAGAAAGAGACACTATGAAGTTTTTTCTATTTTTAGAGGTATGTTCTTGAAGGTTTGTTCTGTATAATCCCATATACCATGCTCACTGAATACATCAGGGATTTCCTGAATTGAACATTATTTTCTTCAATGCCTTTGTGCCATCTTTCCAGACCTTTACAACATGAAGCTGATGGTTGCCATCAGCTGGTTCTTAGACATGATGCAAGCTGTTAAGGGAAACAGCTAGGACTTAATCTCTATTTCCTTTCCATAAACATGCTAGAGATTCCTCCCACCAAAAAAGGTGTCTTCCAGACCACAGTTGCTCACAACTATAAAAGATTATTTTTTTTAAATCAAACTAAGTAATAGTTTCACCACGTAAATGATACCAAATGCAAGTTCCAACAAGTTAATGCAGTGATGATTTGGGAGCTTTTTACATCTCTAGTGACACACATTTGCTTTGAAACTTGGGTGAAAATCCCTTAACCCACATGAAGGAGGAAGAACCTGCAATTGCATAGTTGAGGACAAGCAAAAGCACGCTTCAAAAAAACAAGAGAGTCAACCACAACACAAATTAAGAACGCACCATGCACCTCCAAAATTTAACATCAGTGTTAAGCAACAGGAGTTTTGCTTGTTTAAACTTATATATTTTTTTAATTTTAAACTCAGCATCAGGTCTTGTGTCATCTCACATGACCTTAGCTAAGACACCAGAGAAGGGAAGGATGCTATTAATAGGACTGATGAAATTATAGTCCTCACATTTTTAAATTTTCAGCTTGGCTCTCTTTTCTGCTACTGTTCACAGAAGTTGCCTGACCAGAGATCAACCAAAACAGTTTTCTTTCAAGGACCCTTTCCCAGCTTTGTCCCTGTAATACTGAGCAGCAGAAGGGCAGACTGCCCCCAGAAAGCCAAGCACTGCCAGACTCTGACCCCAAATCAATCGCAGGTAACCAATGCCTCTTGCAAGCTTTCCAAGCTTCCCCCCCTTTATTTTTTTAATCCCATCACTACTTTAATTAGCAGGTCACTGCACAACCTCACAACTGTTAAAAACCTCCTCAACTACAGATTTAGGCAAAATTACAATCTATTAACACCCACCCATTCCTGTCAGAGCATTATTTTCCAATTTAAACAAGTTTCGTTACCTCTAATATTTACTCCTCTCTCGTTATATTTATATCAATTTCCCTTCTCAGCCTTCATTTTGCTGTAAGCAAGCTGAAATTAATTTCTCCACAATTGTTTTCTTTCAGTTCCTCCGTTTTATGTCCCCTACCACCCAGCTAGCCCTGTGCAGAGGAATTCCGTGGAGTTTCAGAATCGGTGCTGTGCACACTTTGATGCACTCGCTGCAGACACATCACAGCCAGTACACCTGAAAGCCCATTTGCCTTCTTCCATAGCACAAGGATCAGATCAAGCCTGAGAGTCCCAGTTACCTCCTCTTCAGCACCTGCACTGTGCCACCAGAGGTGCTGTCCCTACTTCCCAGAAAAGCACATTGGTTTAGATAACCAGTACGGTTAGTTAACGGGTCACTAAAGCTACCTGCTCAGGTCCTGCAATCACTCTAACATCCGCTGGTTTCTCCGGGCTGTCAACTGCTAAGCTGCTGTCAGCTGCTCCAAATTTACAGCAGGACTTCTTGTTCTTTGCAAGTAAACCCACAATTATGCATCTTGAGGACTGAAGCAAGAGCAAAAGGGGTGAAAACGTCAATGATACAATCTACAGTCAACCCATGCTACTACTTGATTTTCTACTTAATATTTTCACTTTTCTTCAGTGTTTTCTGTAAGACCTTGCACACTGACGTAGCAGCTTGGCTACCTTCATCTTCCAACCCAATTAGCACACAGCAGCCCCTCTTGACTGAGGTAGAGAAGAGCAACCCATCTCTAACCCTGTGATCCATTCTTCCCAGCTGGCGAGTCCAGCCCCTCCTGCAAGATGTTGAGCTTACCGTGATAGCTGTGGCCGCTCCCTGGTACACAGCCTTGAAGCACAGCGGGCTGCATTACACTGTCACAGCATACAGAGTAATAATATAGCTCGGGGATAGTGCTTAGGTTCTGCCTTGCCCCCCATATAACCCATGTTTCTTCAGCTATGTAAACAGAAATGCAATTCCCTGCTATTCCAGCAGCCTTTTCAAGGTGCAACTCAGCTTGACCTTGCCAATCCTTGCTGTTTTCTACACCCCTCAAGTAATAACTAATATTTAACTGTTCTGAAGTGATTATTCAACCAATTAAATGGGGAGTGTTTTCCTACAATATTTCCCCTTAATGAGGATCACACAGGATAAAATTACTTCATTTTTGCAGCTCTAACTGAATAAATCCCCGGCCTCCAGCACCATCATCAGAGCTGTCTCTAGAAAGCTACCAACAGCAGCATTCTGTCCAGTGCTCCAAAAACCTGCCTCTGATACCACCACAACCACCTTAGCTGCACAATTTATGAGCCAGCTTATGAGTTTATGAGTCAACACAACACGAGTTGACTGTCCAGAAGCAGTTCTCCCACCAAGACCTTATTGCTCTTCCACGTCAAGTCCAAAATAGCCCCACCTCCTGTTGATTCAGTAGCAATTTGGTGACTAAATCACTGGGCTAACACTTCCTCAAATATTTGAGCCATGCCATCACTAGCAGCATTAATTTCTGTAGTCCAAAGAAGTTAACTTCTGGAATAACACAGTTCCCACTAGTATTCCCTGCCAAGATGAAAACACTCCATCCACACCAAGATCTTCTAGGCGCATACAAGCCCTGTGCTGTACCAGCAGAACTTCCCACCATCTCATTTGAAAACGATTTTGATCAAGACCGACAATAAATAAGGAAAAGGAGTGTTGAAGCAACATATTCAATGCACAGTGCCATTTCCTCATTTTTTTTTCCCCTTTATATTTTAGTCAGATTAGGCATCGCCTCTTTTTTTCCTCCTCCTTTAAACACTTCCCCTGCTTCACACCAGTGCTCGAGTTGAGAAGCTTCTCTTCTCAGACCACCCCACCTGCTGAGACTCTCTGCATTGCTATAGCCACGTTTACCCCATTTTATCCTGCCTGCATGGCAATTAAATCCAAGGATGGAGTGAGGGAGAACAGTCGGGGAAGATTCATGTAAACTTTTAACCATCACAAAAGCATTCCCTAAAAAGGAAACTCAAAGGAATCAATCACTCCTGAGGAGTCATTCTGCGAACATCTCCCGAAGACTGGGCATTAAATCACACTTATCATAGCAGCTATCGATTTCTAACACTTTGACATGTCTTTGCCTGCCTGCTCTTAAAAAAAATGCAGAAGATTATGCTGTAGAGTCTTATTATCTGAATACCTTCCTTGTGTAGGACACACAAGCCATTCCAGCAGAAACCTTGAAGAGTAAATTCTGCCACGGGAGGACTTCTCAGTAGTCTTCCCTAATCTATTAAACTGCTTTTGAAGAGCAGCTCTGTACCTTCTAACATCCCTCTCCGCAGAGAAGAGCCCTGTTCTTTGTGTTCACCATGATCTACAAGCATTAACAAGGAGTCCCTCAGAGGGCTCTGTTTGCTTTCTGCACTTAATCCATCCTTTCTCCTGAGCCTTCCATGCCACCTCGTCTCTTCTCCAATCTGCCTTTTTTTCCACTCTTTATTTGTACGTTATTCATAGCCAACTATCCTCTTTATTAGTCAAACACTTCCACTCAGAAATCTAAAAGATTCCTTAAAAGATTAAAAGCAAAAAAAGGAGCCAAGACAAAACGATAACTATAACAACCCAGGAACACATTAATGCAAGATGATAAAAATGTACTGTCCTCCTCAACATTTCTTTCCCACATAAAATATTAGTTAACACACCACAAAAACAAGCAAACAACCCCCCCAAATATCTCCATGTCAGTCACAGCTACAAAACACAAACTTAATAACGGCGGATGATGGCATACAGCTAAGAAATTTTGCATGGGGTTATAGAACCAACCAGCTCTACTTACTCTCAGCATGACTCTACTTTAACATTAGGCCTTTGATTCCTGCATAAGAAGTTTGCTCCATACAAATATAACAATTCAAATTCTCCACTAGGCATCATTATTAACGGTAATAACTTCAGAAACGAAAACAAGTTCATTCTTATCCTGTTATCCACAAGTTTACAAGGCATTGGTAAAGTATTCAGATTAATTCTGTCAGAGTTGCCAAGTTATTTCCTTACGCTTTTTTTAAACAATAGCATTAGCTCTCTCAACTTACAGCCCAGTGATTCAGCTGAGACTCTCTTCTCCCATATGCCCGATTTTTTGAATTGAAAATTCAAATGCTCACCCCTAAGAAGTGAAAACTCAAACGCTCACCTCTTAGGCTGCTAAGAAGTCAAGTCAACTCACCAGCCTCCCTTTTCACCTCCCTGGCTTTCCTTCTTTGCAAACCAAGGCTTCATCTTCTCTACCCTTTGCTCTCCCAGAGCAGCTCAGGGTAAGCACATCACATCCAGTTAGCTCACCCTTAGGCAAGAAATGGGAAAATAGCAGAAAGGCAGAACGCATCACTTTATTAGAAAGCAAACCAAAGTGCGAGGCACTACGCTGCAGCAAAATGGCAAATCCTACTTCAGAAACGTTGAGCTTCATCCAGAAACTCTCAAATCGAATCCTAGAGAATCCTTCACATTTCACATTCTATTCCACTTCACTGTTTCACGTTTCCTTGTTATGCATGTTTTAGAAAAATTAAGTTAGTTTTGTATACTAATAGCAAAGAATTTTGTCTATTCATCAATATACTAATATGTAACTCATATACAAATACCTTTAAGGAGATACAAATACGAATACTGTGGAATATTTCTGTAGTACTGGCAATAGACTCCTACGAAATTTTTCTTATTTATCACAGTTTTATGTTAAATGCATCTCTAATTTTTTTCTTTAGAGAAGTGTTTTAACGAGAGACTAAACCTGTATCAGCTTTAAAATTGTGTTATTACCTGTATTTACATACAAGAACAGTACTTGGGGGATTTTTTTTTCTGTAAGAACAGAAAACATCAGTATTAAACATCCTCATTTTGCATGAGCTAGATCTAGCATAACACCAAGTCTTAGTAAAACTTTAAGGTATCTAAATGCCATTCTTGCTAATGTTCAGCTGTTCAAACATCACCCTACCAAAATCAGGGCAGCGCCGACCAGCTGCCAAGGTCCTGCTGGAAACAGCATAAAGAAGGGGGTAAGATTTTGTGCAGGCATTCATCCAACTGCACAGCAGCCACCTGGGTTACAGCTATCTCATTAACAAGGTTCCTTCTTTTTAACTCAACTCTTACTTCATTCAGCATGAACTGCAACTAGGAGGAGCATGAAAGTAGGAAGAGGAGACCAGGCTGCAAGAGGAACGTGACACCGCTTCTTGGCACTGCCTTAGGACAGCTTAAAAGAATTCTGAAACTTCAGCTCTAGTGCCTGTCTAAACTATTTCTGACAAAATAGTTGTGTCAGTCACGGGCACGCAGAGGTGTAACTGACACAGCTGTGCCAGCACAAGCTCCGGGAGCAGTTACACAATCATCACTTGTCCCACTCTTGGGGATGGCACAGCTTCACCAGTCTAACCACACCACGCAAGCTGTGCACACAGCAGCATACTTGCACTCTTGTACTGGTGTAAGGACCCTCACACAGACGTAGGCTGTGTCTATGTTTAACTACGCGTGATATTTACAGTACCTAGAAGCATTAATCACAGCAGGACCTGTAGCAGTGGAAGCTGAACCTAATGCGAGTGGCCCTGATATACTGAGCACCAGTTAGGGACCCCTGCTCTGGATAATGCTGTTCAGGAAAGCCTGAATGAACAGGCAATTCTGCAGGAATGCAAGATGCACGTCCTTCATTTTTCACGCATAGTTATGTTTTTGATGCAAAACAACTGAAAAACCCTACAGTTAAAAGGATGCTTTAATAAACAGTTTGAATCATACTCTGAATTAGTCACTGTATAAACACAAAACCATTTGAGGCAGATTCTGCAGTCGGTTCTGTAAGTCTGCCCTGCTTAGGTTGCTAGTAATTCTACATACAAAGGAATCACAGGATTCAGCTCGTTTTAAATCGATTATGCCAATGCACTCAGTCCCAGAGCTTGAAGATGTGGAAATAGCTCTGAACAGTTTTTCCGTGCTAGCTTCCCATATGGACACCCTTATTCCAAAGTGAAAGGGCTTACTCAAATGCCATGAAGGCTCAGAGTTTCCAGAAAGGGAGCAAATAAAACACAGCTACTGTGATTTCCACTTGTATGCGCTACTTTATTTCCTAATAGCCTCCACTACTGAAGTTTTTGCTACATTGGGATGTGTCTAAAAGTACTTTCTCACAGTTCATTTCTAGCTAAAACTAATACATTTGTGTCTCTCATTCTGGGTCTTGATTCAACTTGAACTAAAACGCTTACCTAACTAAAATCTATTTCTTTGTTTTCTCCCCATAAATCATTGTACAAACCCATTTCTGAAGGCATGTTACCTTAAACCTCAATTTTCCACAGCAACTAGAATTACACAATCATTAGTCATTTTTTTTTTCTAATGAACTATTAGTTTTACTGGCTAGTAATAAAGAGAGATGATGAAATAAATAAAAATGTTTCCTATGTGTCTCATGACAACAGACAAAAGTAGATAGGATGCCACCCTTCCAACAAAAGAGGGATGTACAGTGTGAGCTCAGCTGTTTCAGACACGAGCATAGTCAAACTGGAGTTAATCAGTGTGACTGACTGAGTTTTCTGGTGTCAGAAGCAGAAGGACTGAATGAAGCTTCTTCTATAACCAGGGATATCCACATCTCTCTCCTGTGTGGACACCGATGACCAGAGGAACAATCCACAGGCTTAGTACAATTCTGTTAAAACACAGTAACAGACACAGACCTAGCCCTCTAACAATGTTACTTTTGCTGCTCACAGAGGTACTTTGTTTATTATGTGGATAACCACTTTCTGAAATACTTCTGGCAAGCAGATTGAGGTGCTCCCAATTCAAACATTACAACTATTAACACTCATAGTCCTTCATATGATATGGGTATCATATGAATATCGTATTGATAGCATATGAAGGGGAAAAGCTTGTTAGGTTAGTAGCACAAAGGTGGACTATGTCCCTAGAGTGCCCAGAGAATAAGATTTCTCAAAATTCACAAAGTCTTTGAGATAAAAAAACTAAATTGCTTATTTTCTTCATCTAAAATGCAAAGTTTTACCTAGTTTGTCAGATACAGAAAGCCTGTGTATTAAAGCTTAACCAGAAGCATTTTCTCAATTTGATACCATTGAGAGTCTAATTCATTTTTACCAGTGTAAAAATGAAGCAGTGACAACAATCCTTGTTAGATCATGAAAACAAGCTAGAAGCCACTTAACAGGTAAGTAACTTAAGAACTACACTAAGCACTGCACTAATTTAACAAGTTTAATGCAACCGAAAGACCATTAGACACAGCTCAAGATTGGACTTAACCAGTACTTTCTTGCACAGTCTCCTAATTATACAAGTTACTATGATAAAACATTAAGTTTCTTTAAGTTTCAGACTGAGTAAAGTGAACTAACCTTCGAACTCGTACACTTCTTTCCTATTAAAGCCAAACACCTGAAAACAAGCACAGAAGAATGAATGGGAGACTGGGAAGGTTAAAGGATGGGCTGGTTTCTGATGTCTTTAGGTCCACACAGAGCTGTGCTTGGAAGGTACCATCTGGCAGCTGCAGCCTAACCCCTAATCCTAAACTGCCTAACCCTGTCCCGTAACCAATGACCGCTGTCTTTCCCCAGGTTTTTAAGAGATTACAAGAGGCAACCGAATGAGCCCAACTTCAATGGAAACCAAGTTTTTCCTGCTTTCCATTAACTCCCAGTATCTCTGCGGTTCTGCCAACCAATACAGACCATTCACTAGAAACCTGGGCTCAGCTGGATACATATTAACAAGAAAAATGCCATTAACTGAAGGCAGGAAGGAGCAGTAGATCTTGTCTTCCCTGCACAAATATTCCCATTACCAATGCTTGGCCAACTCACAGGTCTGGTCAAACGATCACTAGTATGCATTAAGTATTCTGAATCATAAATTTACATAGTGTTTTTCATAATGCTGGCGTTTATTAGCAGCTACATCATACTTTAAAAGCACAGTTGTATGACAAGTATAAAAATATAAGTAAAGCAGTAATTCAGAAAGATCACCTTAGAAGGGAGACTAGTAAGCACTTTTCTTAAAACACCCTAATCAATGCATTTTGTTTTGAGCAAAATGCTCCTTAGCTACCAAGAAAAAAAAGTGACTTATGGACCAGCTCCCTCAAAGGCAGAGGTGCACGGATCTGTCCTGAGTCCAAAGGACATGGTTTACTGAGAGGATTTGATAGGTCAGTCTGATGGTTGGACTTGATGATCTCGAAGGTCTTTTCCAAACTAGATGATTCTATGATTTCCTAGTACAGACTGGAAGACATAACCAAACATACCACCGTGGATTAAGAAAACCAAAGGTGCACAGTAAAGGCATTTCAGTATCCTTTTAGGTGACCTCTGATTGTAAGAAACAGCTCTAAACCTTGTCTTGCCTATAATCACAGGCAGAGCTTGAAATACAGAGTAGACAGTTCCTTCCAGCAATGTACAGAGGACACCACAAACAGCTATTCTAAAGATCTTCACATTTCAGAGAAACGCAGCTTAAAGAGGCGTTATTGACTCTCACATCCCTTCTGCCTTCATGATTCCAACCCAGGACTCATTCGACCTAAGAACTATGACAGTTTTGCATCCACCAGAAAAAAAAAAAAGAAGAAGAAAAAACTGCTTCTAATTTAAAGACAAAGAAGATTCATTATTGCCTTACAATAGTGGAAACTTCTGTAGACAAAAACTCTACTGAAACGTTCTTCAGTTTGTTTCCAGGGAAAACGTTTTGCCAGGTGTGGTGACACAGTTGTAGCCTCTGTGTTACTTTCTTCCACAAATAGGAAAAAAATCACTAATAATTAAGTAAGACTATATATATTACACTACAGACAGAATCATGTGGAAGAGATATTTGGAGGGTATCTAGTCCCACAACTCCTGCTCAGAGTGGGTCCAACACGAGCAGCACAAGATAGAGAGTATGACTGATGGAGTTTTGAGGACAGAGGTCTCACAGCCTCTCTGACCAGTCTGGTTCAATGTCTGACTACTGTCATGGTACTGTCACTCTGGTAAATCAATGTCTTTCCTATACAGTAAAACACAGAATTGGACCCAATACTCCAGATATGGTCTCACGAGTGCAGGATACAAGTGAAGAACCACCTCCCTCAACCCTCTCACTACTCTTGCTAATGCAACCCAGTATGCAGTTGGCCTTCTTTGCCATAAGGCCACAGCTGAAGTGTCTTCAACTTGACGTCCACTACATCACAGAGGTCTTTTTCTGCTAACCTGCTTTGCCTCATCAGCCCCCAGCCTGTACCTACTGATGCACGGTGCCATCTCCTCCCAGATGCAGGACGTGGTACTCAACTGTTCGACTCCACGAGGTTCAGTTCATGGGATCCTCTGCACAGCAGACTGTGCTCCAGCGCGTTGATGCCTCCCTCCTGCCCTATCTGGTATCACACACAAGTTTTCTGAGATGCTGAACAGACATTGGTACCAACACAATGATTTTGGTTTAAAAGCTCTAATTTTTAAACATTTCTTAAATTAACCAGGCCCTCTCTAGCTCTACTCAGAAAGACCAGCTGCATTCACTAAGCCTGGACTGCCCTCCACAGACCATTCTTATCAATCAAAGCTTAGACACGTAGATGAGCAGAAAATTGACACTGTTTAAACACTGCTGATTTAAAGCCATAACAGAAGGCATTTCATTCCTTTATATCTGCTTTGGTTCTACGTAACAAATGGGAGAAAATCCACTTTCCAGCAGGCCTTTCTAACAACACCAAAGCACAATTACTAGTAAAAACCTCCATTTTAGTGAAGTCACTTTCTAGCACCCCAAACTGCTTATATAGGAACAAAGCAATGAAGTTTTTTCAAGCCCCAGTTCATGGCTTTTCCAAATAGCAAAAAAGTTGCACCGAACTTTAACTAATTAAATTTTTTGTACCTAAATTTTTGCCACCAAGCTGCTGATTCCACTTGAAAGCTATTTTGGATTCCAGTTAGTTACAAATTTTAGTTACAAATTTCTAAAATTTATTTTAATTTTTTTATTTAAAAATTTTAATTGCTCCTTCACCTATCTGCTGGTGCAGATATTCATGTTCTGTAACTGCTGTTGAGTTTAATTTATTCTCAGCTCTATCTGGGTTTACCTCCCACACAGATAAGCTCCTGCATTCTGATACACACGAGAGAAACATTTTGTGGTAGAGACATCAACAACTCTCTCCTTGCTAGGAGGAGGCTGTGTTTACCAGTGTGCTACCTTCAGTACCAGAGTAGTGGTTTCATTACCTAGACTATCCTTTGACTTACAAAGGACCAGAAAACTTACATTTCTACACAAAAAAAACAATGAAGGGTTCAAACTTCTTTAGCATAATACCATTCCTTTCAAGCACAACACGTGATGCTTATTAAAATATGAAAAAAAAATCACATTAACGTGCCCGACGAACTACTACCACTTCTCAGCGTCAGTCTTTAAATGACCACAAGATTTTTTCAGTGTTTCTAGTAATTAAGTGCCAGGTTCTTCCCCTCCTAAGGCAGCTGCTTATAAACAGAAAGAAGGTAAGAATTTGGCTACCCACTGCAGCATTCCAGGAACTTTATTCTGAAATAAGACTAACCTCCACCAAAGCCATCAGCCACTTATCAAAAAGGAAGATGAAAAAACTGGGCTACTACTCTCCCTCCAGCAATTTTTGGTTTCTCCATCATGCTGCAGCATCATACTTTTTGTGTTTAGCTACTTTAGAGTTTCGTTTAGCCTAAGCCATGAAGCCAACAAGATAACAAACTAATGAAATGTCAGAACACGAAAAGAGAAAGTTGAGCAACTGATGCCTTGCCTAGACTAGGATTTGAAGTATTGTGTGAATTAACTGCTTACTCATTTTAAGTTTTAATACAAGCATAGTCCAGTAACTTATCACATTTAACTTGTCAAGTTACTACCTAGACTAACAGCTTCATCTTTGTTAAAGATTCACCACCTCACCTACCTTAGAATTTTAAAACTTTTTCTACACACACAAGTGTATGGAGCACTCCTGACAAAAAAATTGTTAGCTTTACCTACTTAATTCAAATATTTGAAAAGATGCAAAGCTACAAGGATCTCTGCTAAATGCACAATATCCCATTCCTTAACTTAATGTCTGAGAGCTTATAATAAAATTAGAAAAAACAAAGCAAGCAGAAAAAATGCTTCTGCTGCTCTAGTGTATAAAGATGTTAAATGCTGCAACCCCTCCCCAAAATATCCCTTCTCTTACCTGTAAGCCAGAGATTAAGCCATGTCTAAAAGTTGTTTTAATGACTTCCCAGAAACATCATTTATATTAGAAAAAGAGAGCAACAAGTATATTTATTCATATAAAATAGTACACCTTATCTATAGCAAGGATAAACACACTTTTCAGAACTCTTTCTGCACTGATATTTAGAAGTGAAATTTGGTGCTTCCAATACACACTACAATTGCAGAAGAGATTCATTACCATCCAGCTTCTCCTTTTTAAACATTTCTGGTTTTACCACCCTATTTCAGTCCCCAGATGAGTGCTGGAAGACAGAGCAGACTCCCTCTGTATTCTTTCCAAGTGTGCCCACCCACTCCCCCCAGGCATTTGTGCTCTTACTGCATCTGCAAGAAACAGAGGGGCTGCTCTTCATGTTCAGGTGTAGCTCAAAGCATCAAATCAAGAATAATTTGAGAGCAGATAATGTGAGCCACTTTGCCTTCACAGAGAGACTTAAACTTCTAAATAACAAATTTAGCATCACCATTTGTGATTTTTTTTTAAAGGAGCAATATTTAAGGCTCCTCTTGGCACACAAATTATGCAGAAGAAAACATCTGTTTTCCTCTTTGATTTGTACACTTAGTTATACCTCCCTATTCATCATCTCATTCCACGTACTTTCATGCTTAGTGGTACTACTGACATCACAGTTTGATCGCCTTTGAACATTCGCAACAGAATTTGGTTGTCTAAGCATTTATGAATGCCCAAGTTCCATGTTCAAGATGCAGGTAGTATATCCTGTAAGCAGCAGTTCTATACGCTTCTATGCCAATATAACACTCAGATGTGGCTTGCTAATATCAAACTCTTGTGTTATAACTTTAAAATTTCATAATATATTTCATAATTATTACTTGTGGGAAGTTTTGCTCAGTTTAAATAATACTATGAAATGGTCTTTATTTCCAGCTTTCTATGCTGAGCTCTTCACTGCATAGACTAAAACAGGAACAGAGAAAAAATGTTCCTGGACCAACCTCTAGAGTAAGAAAATTTGGCATGGATTCCCCTTCCCCCACACCCTGAACTGGAGAACATGTTTTTTGTTTGTTTTCCCTGCATCAAGCAAGGGGAAGGTGTCTTAAAGCTGTTATACAGCATTATCAAATCAAGTCTTCTTTGTTCCCACAGGATCAGCTGTTATATGGGGTACCAGGTCTAGTCTTTGTAGCTTTGGTATGAAGATACCCACCTAGAAATTTCTCTTAGCTTACAGGCAATTCTGTAGTCAGTGTGCAGGAACTTGGTGACAGCAGCCTGGGCTCTAAAGGCAGCTGTAAAACAAGGCCCTTACGTTTTTCTAGGGGATAGTTCAAGCTGCATAGCAACAATACTGTTCCTACACTAAATTTTAAAGCACATCACCTACTGCTACCCTGAACACGTTTTCATTAAAACATCACCATCTTCAAAAAAAATACCCTCTCAGCTTGTCCTCTGTGAATGTGTCCAGATTTCTAAAGCACCAGCGGTAGGAGTTCCAGGCTCACATTAGCATTTCACAAGCATCTAACCTGCAACATCATCCCAAGTAGGACGACAATGACGACACAACTATTAAATCCTATCTGGCTGACGTTCGCCAACTCAGCCCCAGACACAGCAGAAGCTGCACTGATGCAACACTGCAAAAAAGCTGCCGTGTAAGGCCCTGAACAGCTCCAAAACTTCTCTGATCCCCCCTGAAAGCAGCCAGCTTGCCTTACCGACCACCACACGCCCCTCAGGCGCACACCATTCCAGAAACACTCTGCTGAGCAAGCCAGGAGGGCTAGGTAGCGAGACAGAAAGGCGCGTGAGGCTTAAAAATCCATCCACCTGAAGGCGAGAACCTACACGGGGGGGGAAACGCAAGCTCTGCACTGAAGCACCCTCCGCGAGGAGGGATTTACCTGCAAGAAACGCACAAGGGTGAGGTGCAAGGCACGCTGCCGGGCAGCGAGGCGCTCCCTGCCCCAGCCCCAGCCCCCCCCGGCCTCCCCCAGCGGGCAGGGCCTCGGCTGCGGGGGCGAGGGCCGTGGGCGGCGGGGCAGGCCCGGCAGCGGCCGCCCCTCACGGGGGGCTCCCCCCACACATCCCCATTCCCCCCCCATGGCCCCCGGGGGGAAGGGCCCGGCGGCTGCCGGCTCCCCGGGCCTCGCCCTCCTCCTCTTCCCTTCCCTTCCCCTCCCCGGAGCCGCGGGCCGGGCCCACCCCCGGCGGCGGGGAGGAGGAGGTGGGGCCGGGGGGGACCGGCGGGGCCGCCGCCAGCACCGGGGGTGGAGGAGGAGGAGGAGGAGGAGGAGGGGGAGGAAGGTGGCGGCCCGGGAGGGAGGGGGGGACAACGGGGAGAGGCTCTGACCTCCTCGCTCTTCAGCACCTCCTTGAACTCCCGCTTGATCCTCTGCACCGCGATGTTGGCCATCTCCGCAGCGGGCACCCCCACCACCTCCTCCTCCTCCTCCCTCCACCTCCTCCTCCACCTCCTTCTCCTCGCCACCGCCGCCGCCACCGAGCCGGGCCCAGCGAGCTCCGCCGCCGCCGCCGCTGCTGGAGAAGTCCCGGCCCCACCAAAATGGCGGCGGCGCCGAGCATGCGCGCTGAGGAGCCCGGCTCTGCCGCCGCCGCCGCTCAGGAGGGGCCGCCGGCTGCGCGGAGCCGAGCCCAGCCCGCAGCGGGGGGCGGCGAGCCCACGGATGGCTCCCCGGGGGGTTCCTCCGGCTGCCGCCGCTTCCCCCTCCCTGCCAGAGCTGAGGGAGCGCCCCGGGAGGCGGCCGCCTGCCGCCCGCCCTGTCACGGAGCGGGCTGGGCGGCGGGGAGCCCGCCCGCCGCAGGGCTCGGGGCCTCCCCGGCGGTGCGGGGAAATGGGGGGGCCCTGAGGCGAAAAGCGGCGGCCCCCCGGGGGAACAGGGTGGCAGGGAGCGGCCGGAGGTGTCCCCGAGCAAACACCTGGCTGCCGAGTGTCCTGCTCCAGTCCCCAAGCACAACCCAGCAGCGAGGGCGCATCCCATGCCCTGAGAATCTGCTTGACCTGTCCATGCAGCAGTTCACACCTGTATTTTCCCCATAAAAATAAATAAATAAAGATAAAACCTCGCTTGGAAAAGCCCCAGTGCCCATCATGTCTCTCTCCCAGCCCAGCTCCTCGCCTTGGGTGCGCTGATGTCTCCTCACACAGCTCGAGGGGAACCCATGGGCCACAGCAGGCCCCGGAGCAGGTAACGGGGAGGCAGCACAAGCAGCGCTTCTTATGGATCCTGCCACAAGATTTTAAAAGATAAAAGGTGAACATGTCGGGCCTGTCTAATGGACTGTTATATTTTATTGCAGACCCAAATGCTGCAAGCCACAGATGTTGCTCTGTCTGGAAAACAGGAACAGGACAGCAGTAACCATCCCTCCGGCCTAAGGCGCGCAAAATCTGAGCAGTGTAGGTAGATTTTCAGAACAGAGCATGAGATTGCACTTACAACTGTTGTTTATTCAGGAACTGGAGGCTTTCAGGACACTGAGATCTATAGAAAGATAATGCAGTGCCTGCTCTTTCTGTACGGTGCAGGACAACATACAGCATAGGCGTTTGTCTCAACAAAGCCCATTTCCATTCTTTCCAAACAGATTGTAGTGGCTTCCAGTTGGGATTGTCTGCTTCTAGTCTGGCTTTAAGTGCTATCTGTTTATCTCCATTAGTATACGTAGCATTTTGACCATTACATGCACATCAAAGAAAGTATGGGCTGAACAGATTAAAAATAAATAAATCTGGCAGCTATAATGCAGATGTATATTGTTATTTTTCTGTGTGTATTTACTTTTCCCCAGTGGTTTGACTGGAAAAAGCCCGTTTTCCTGCTACAGTGTTGTACCATGTGCATCTGTTCATCAAATTAGCTCTTCTTCAGATCAAAGCTTGTTTTTAACACAATATACAATGCAGTCTCTCAGATGAGGGTTTTCAGAATCTTTCTGAGAAGGACAGTTTTGGTCTTCTTTCTTTTTAATGACTTCCAGTGTGATCTTGGGTCTTTATCTTCAGAATAATTTAGACATACAGGTCCTGATGATGTGTTTGAGTTCCTTCTGAGGAGGCAGGCCATGACTTCTCTGTGCCTTAGGTTCTCACCTGTAAGATAACAGTAATAACTCCTCTCTGCTACACAGAGCTTTTGGATGAAAGTTTGTTTTATGGCGTGCTGAGCTCCTTTGGACAAAAAATAAAAGGGCAGTACATAAAATCTGCAGGTTAAATGCCTCATGTCTGTTCAGACAGCTCATTGTAGTAAAAAGCTGAGCTTCTAATATTCAGATTTTGTTCTGAATGGAGTGGAAAACATGACCTTTATCAAGTGTCAGAACCCTTTGTGTTCCTATGAGTGTGTTTGTATGTTATAGGTAGTAGACATCCAGTAACAGCCACAGTAAAGGGCAGTGATTTTGCCTGGTTTGTATCTAGGTTCATTCCCATGTGCTCATTTGGATTACAAATGTCAGAGTCTGTTACTGCAAAAAGCAAATCAAAATAATATTAGTTACCATATCTCTTTTCCTTACTATAACACACTCTTTTACTTTGTCCTTAAATAGGCATTTTTCCTTATCTTGCAACTGTTTCATATTCACCATATAGTTTTCCAACCCCCCATTTTAGTTGTCCTTTTTCTTTTGATTTTCTTTTTGGTAAAAAATAGAGAATATAAAAAGGCTTTTTTCGGGGGGGTAGAAATGAGTAGTTGCAAGGTCTGCCAGCATTAAAATATTGCCTAAAATCAGTACCCTGTAGTCAGCATGCTGGGGTTATTATCGTGTACCCCCTTAGGTATACTACATACAATGCTGTAGTTTACTAATTTGCAGAAGAGTCTACAGGGTTTTAGGCCACAACAGGACTGTAGACTAGAAGTCTTCAGACAGTATTTTTTTTAAGTGCTTGGAAAGAAAAAAATGCTTTGAAAAAATGAGAGCATACTCAGCCTCTTTGCATAATTTCAGTGACTTCCATGTCTGACTTCATTATATATTTTATAGTATTCGACAATACAAATCTATGTGTATCCTCTGAATTAAGTTCTCATCGGTCTTTTACCCTTAGAAAAACCCACATACCAAAGACTGCAGACATTTGAACATTTTTGTAATGTGAAATTTTGTAGTATATCTCAATTCAGAAGATTGTTCCTTCATTAATCCCATTGTCAATTTAGCCTTATAGCAGACAGTTCTTTCAATAGCAGCTTTCACAAACTAGCTGCAGTGGTCTGTACTTTTGCCTGCAGTCTTGGTCATAAATAATAAGACTGGGAGGTACGGTTCTGAGTATCCATGCATTTAGTGCGCTTGGCATATTGCTTTGAAATACTTCTGGAAGTAGGAGCAGGAAATATGTTGTATTAAATGAAGTTGTAACTATACAATATTATTGCAGGAGGAAAGTTTATAGGATCAGTGCCTATAAACTGAGGTCAGCGATTTAAGACATCAGCCCAGTCTCAGCAGGAAGAGGCCGCTGTTGCCAATGCTAGGATAACCAAACATGTTGAACAATATATCATTTCCCATTTAATGTGGGAGATGGTATCCATCCCACAACCTATAGGACAGAAACCATTCCCCACATTTTCATGGAAGAGTGGCTCTTTTTCATGCACAAATTGTGTGGGCATGCTGGACTCGCCGCAAATACAGGACAACCACTGTGTGCATGGCTCATCTGCCTGAGACTATGGATTCCCCTCAACCCCAGCATACTGCCTGAGGACTCCAAGATGCTTATGTCAGCACTAAAAGTGATTAAATTGCTGTTCTTCAAGTTAAGATTCTTGGTGATCTCTTTCTCATTTCCATATTTTGCATATTTTATTCAGTTCATGTCAGTAGTATATTTTTCTGTTATAATTACTCAAGAGAATTTGGACTTATTGTGGTTGTTCACCATGATAAGAAGAAGAAAATACAATTTCTGAATCTGTAACTTTCCAGCATACAATATATTTTTACTTCTCTTGCTCTTTTGTGTCTTGCATAACAAGACTTCAGTCCTTGCCCCCCCCATCTTGGTCTCTTTAGTTTAGAAAAATCAGAAATGTCAGGTTTGGTCTCCTCTCATTGTTGCTGGAGGATTTCTTACCGGAGGAGAGAGCTGTCTCAAGAGATCTGTGTCGTGATTTCAAACACTTCAGAAAGAGGGACTGAAATTGTAACGTATTTTGTATTCTTATTTCACTGTAACATATTTTGTATTCTTATTTCACTCATCTTCAAGAGGCATCTATGAAAGGATGAACCTTACAGGTTGTGTCAGTATTAGATGGTATTCCCTTTGCATTTAAATGCTCATAAGCTCATTTATAATATGCTTTATTAAGAAATCAGCAACAAATTGGGAGCACGGAATATTGATAAAAACAAGCCAGTTTTAAATTTAACTCTTGTTTTACACCGAATTTACACCTCCAAATTTACACTCTGGGTTATTCCAGCTTGCAGAGAGGTCTGCCTGCCAGAAGCCGTGTTATTTACCTGCGTGGCATCTTGCACATCACAGGGACCGTGAAAACAGATTTATCCCGCGCATTTATTGCCTGCCACGTTGTGTTCCTGTTGTGGCAGCGTCCAGGTGACTCAGCTCATTCCGAAGATTGCCTTTATCATAAAAATAACCAACTGGTTGTGCGAGTTGACCGAGTTTTTTAAGTCGTCGGCTGAACTCTCCTGTTCCTCCTCTCCGTGTCCACGTCCGGTTCCGTGGCCAGGTGTAAGAGTGCCCTCTCCTGGGTGCAACCGGGCGGGTTTGCTCGCTGATCTGAGACAGATCCCGCTGTTGGGGAGCTCCTTGCCTTGCAGAAAGCTCTTGGCACCGCTGCTATATATATAGGCTTGTCTCATCTTTCCTGTCAAGGTGTTGAGGAAGGACTTGGAGGGGTTCTGCAGTCGGAAATGCCTGAAGCGGTAGGGCAGCAATTGGTGTTCCCAGTGGAGAGACGCTGCGTTCAGTCACGATTTGCTCTCTCTAAAGTTGTGGTTTTCGTGTCATTAGCAGCTGGAATATTATTTCTTAAAATACAGTAAGTGCACTAACTAAAGATCAGATTTACCTGAAGTCACTTGGTTTGAAACCATACGATGCCACTTGCCTGACTTAGTGGGGTTAGATCAGAAATTAATTCAGCTATTGATTTTACATCAAGCAATCTATGGCTAAACAACATTTAGCAAAATTTCCATGTAATAATTAATGCCTGTGTAGAAATGTTTGGTAGTTTAATAGTAATACTGTATTTTTCTTCACTTGTTAAGGATTTTCATTAGAAATTGATGTTATGTCCTGGACTTTTCATTAATTTGGTGGCATGGCAATATCTTCTAAATTAGTATTTTATCTGAACCTGATATTTTTCATAGGAAAACCAAGATACAAACAGCTCCCTTTTAAGTCTGACAGCATTTTTATTTTTTTAAAACTTATGTTACTTTGTGGAGGAGTGATTTTCAACTGGTGGTATGTATACCTTGGGACCCAGGAGCTGTTTCTTGTGGGTTCATGAAAGGCAAAAAACAAACAACAAAACACACACAAAAAAACCACCAACATAAATAAATAAATAAATAAATAAATAAATAAAAACAGGTTTGGCTATGACAAATTTCTTGTAATTCTGTGGGAGGTCACAGTTTTTTAAAATGTTCTTAATGAGTGAGCATCTGCCTTGAAAAATTTGGCCTCAGGAGACCGACAAATCGATCAGAGGGAACTAAAAGCATTTCTTATAAGGAAAAAATTGTGAAGCTGTACTCTTCTCTCCCTATTACAAAAAAGAAGATAGCAATCCTTTTGAGGATCCTTTCAAAATGAAAGCAAGTTTGGAGTACAAAAATAGATTTCACAACCTATTATTATTAGTTTTATGAGTATCAGAGTTATAAGGGAAGAGAGGATTTGGCAAGTAATATAAAGGATATAGATACCACACTGCTTTGCTGGTATATTTTTTTCCACATAGAAACATTTTCTGCTCTGAATGAAGAATTTGTACTAGCTTAAGCATTTTGCATTACCATCTAATAATGTAATAACTTTTAGTACATTATCAAATCTATGTAACTTTATTTAATAGAATATGGCAGTCTTCATAGATAGATACAAAAGGGACTAAAGAGCTGCCTTAAAAGGGCAGCTGGACAGCTATTCCTGGACAACTGGACATCATCTTCTCCCCTGTCCTTAGTATTTCTGACTGAATAACAATCCCTGCTATTTTAATGACCATGGGGACTCAAATCAGATTCAGACTGATGCACAGAAAATCTCAGTTTCATAAATGTCATCAGGGCTGAAGCATATACAACCTTGAAGCTAGAAGCTTAGATTTGTTGTTCAGCACAGTAGTAGCCAGAGAAGTAGCTAAATGCAGTGAGAAAGTGAGAGAGAAGATTAAAATGGCACTGATAGTGTGGAGTGATTGCTTGGGGGTGGAGTTAGGGTATCTCATTAGGACAAATTAATTTAGTTAGAATTGGAGCAGCATTTATTGTGAAGCATTAATTGAATGAATATGGGAATCCAGAGTAAATAAAAAATAAAAACACTTTCTGTTTGAAAGTAAATGCAGTAACAGCCTAATTGCACAGCACTGGTAGTAAACTGTGGTCATTAACTGCCAAAATATTTTCATGTTCCTGAAAGTGTAGAAAAGTTACCTACTGGAAAGCTTTTTGTGCACAAAGTGGTCCAACTGTTCGCATGTAGATCAGATTGGGGTCTGCAGGGTGCTTCCACCT